ATGCACATTTCAGACTCCAAGCACAAGGTAGTTGTCCATTCTTTCGGCTCCTTACAGATGCTTGTTGTCAAGGGGAGGAGTTACCTAGCATTACCTTTCAAGATAGTAGCTTGAATGGTGCCTCAGTCCTAACCTTCTCACTGTTGCTGTCCTTGTAATGTTTTTCTTGTCACAAGATGTCCAAAACCAAGTCCTGACTTAACTCTTCCTAAATGTGCTTCTCTTATTTTTTTTTTCTTATCAAATGGCATTTCTAAACTTCCAGTTGTTCAGGTCAATAATTTTGAAATCATTCTTAACTGTTTACTGTCACCAGTGTCCCAGATATAAGGCGTGAGCAAACTGTGCCAATTGTCTTCGAGAACTGGCCACTCCTACTCGTTCCTAACATGCCTGAGTGATGAAGATAAGTTTATTTTTTGAAACTCATTTAGATTCCTAGAAACATCTGACAGTCGTCAGTTTCATAACTATGCTTTATAATAAAATTCTATATAGTTTGCATTTAGTTGGCAATCAGATGAAGAGACACAACAGTAAATGATTTTTCTGAGTGACTTGTGAATAACCCTGAAATTCAGTGCTGAAATAGTAGTTTCCAGTTCCGTGAAGAATGTTTTGGGCAATTTGATTGGAATTGCGTTGAAAATGTATATTGCTTGTGGTAGCATAGACATTTTAATGATATTGATTTTGCCTATCCAGGAGCACGGGATTTTATTTCCATCGTTTGAGGTTTTGTTCATTTCCTTTTTTAAATAGTTTGTAGTTTTTGCCTATCGAATAGTCTCCACGCGTTTGGTTAAATTTATTCCCAATTACTTCATAATTCTCTCTGCAATTTTGAATGGTATCCGTTTGTTAGAATCTTCTTCCATCTTGGTGTTATTTGCGTACACTATGGCTGTTGATTTTCGTTCGTAAATTTTGTCCCCTCGCCACTCTGCCAAAAACTCTCTATAAGTTCTAGCAGTTTCTGTATTGATCTCCTTTTTTCTATGTACAGGAATATGTCATATTGCATATAGTGGAAAGCTTGACTTCTTCGTTTCCTATACGAATGCTTTGATTTCTTTTTCTTGTCTAAGCCTCTGAAACACAAAAAACCACGAATAGCTAGAACGTCCCTCCTGAAAAATTAAGAGTACAGGGGAATCACAATCCCGGACCTCTGGACATACTATAGAGCAGAGGGTATCAAACAGCCTGGTACAGGCACAAAGACAGAAAGATGATCAATGAAGAGAATAGAAGCACCAAAGGAAACCCCACACAAAGACAGCCAAGTAATCTTGACAAAAAGCCCAATGACAACTCAAGCAAGGGGAAGGCCTTCTTTATAGTACATGTTGTTGGGACAACCTGGCAGATGCCTGTAGAAACAAAAAGAGAGACTCCACATCTATCACCATACACTAAGATCCAACTACATGGATAAAAGACCTAAACCTACATCCAGAAACCTTCAATCTCTTGCAGAAAATGTAGAAGTACCCTTGCAAGACCTAGGAGAGTTCCGACTTTTCTAAGAAGGATACCAAAAGCGCAATACAGTTGAGAACAGAATATACAAATGGGACCTCATCAAACAAAGAAGCTTCTGACAGCATGGATAGCAATCAACTAGTAAAAAACAAACCACAAGGGTGGAGAAGATCCTTTGCACACGATACAAGGCGATAGGGCTAATTCCAGGATATACAAAGACTTCAAAACAACCAAAAAACCAAACAAACAAACCACTCAGAAATGGCACGGGAAAGGGCAAACATTTCAACAAAGAACAAGTCCAAATGGCAAACAAACATATGAAAAAATGTTTCCAGCTCCCTAGCAAAAGAATCCATATTAAACCATCGATGAGGTAACCACCTAACACCAGTAAGATTGCCCACATAAACAATAAAACCAACGAGACTCTTGCTGCGAGATGCGGTAAAAGGGGAACCCTACGCCACTGCTGGTGGAGCTGCAAATGGTACAGCCTTTATGAAATCAGTCTGGAGAACACTCAAACAACCAAACTCAGCTACCCATATGACCCAGCATAGCACTCCTAGAATATATCCAAAACACCTGTTTTACGACAAACCAACATGCATCCCTATGTTCATTGCAGCACATCAGTAATTGCAAAAACATGGAAGCAAACCGAAATCCCATCAGCAGAAGAATATAAGAAACTTTGTCATCTACTCCATGGAATAACTACTCACTATTAAAAAAAAACAAAATGCAGTTCTTGTGGCTAAATGGGCACAACCTGGAATCTATAATGCTAAGAATTGAGTGATTCCCAAAAGATAGATTACCACATGTTTGCCATTGATTTAACTTAATTTTTGTTGGTTGTTGTTATTTTTTGAACCTGTCATTTGATACTGTCTCAACCCAGATGTTTCGAAGAACTGAACTTCATTATTTTTACATATTGTCTACCCAATTACTATTTTCATTTAATTCCATAATGTTGTATATTGATACTGAAGCCCTGTGTTGGGCTTTTAACTGACCGATTCTTTACTCTGTTAGACTATCTTCAACCATAGAAAGGTCTCCCATAGAGGCCACTGAACTTATCTGGACAATATGACGCTGAACTTTTATGCTAGCATGTGTTTTTGCAACAATGAACTCAAATGAACTTGAAACTATGGTTATGCAACAAGTTGGAAATCCACCATGGGGGGAGGTAATGGAGTGGGGGAATACCCAGCGCCTAAAAACTGTACTACATAAATACAGTGTAAGCAACAATAAAAAAAAAAAATAGTAGTTTCAAAATGTTTTATTCTAGAACATCATCAGTTGACTAAATATTTAAATTTCCAGATTATCACCTATGAGAATAATTGTTTATTTAACCTTCTTGTTCATTGCTTGTTATTTAAAGATTATCCACGTTGTTTATATCATAATCTGTATTGAGGTCTCATGAATCATAAACTTACTCATTGTTCAGTAATGTTGAGAAAATGCCAGCTCTGGAGCTATGCTGCCTTAGCTCAATACCAGCTCTACTGTCTTCTGGACATGTTATCAAAGACAGGTTCCTTCTATTCTCAGTGCCTCAGTTTCCTTGTCTGTAACATGGATATTAGTAAGAGCAGCCCCAGTATTTCTTTTTTTTTTGAAAAACATTTCTTTCATTGGAAAGTCAGATGTACAGAAAAGAGGAGAGATAGAAAGATCTTCTGTCCGCTGATTGACTCCCCAAGTAGCCACAATGGTGAGTTGAGCCAATCCAAAGCCAGAAGCTTCTTCCAGGTCTCTCAAATGGGTGCAGGGTCCCAAGGTTTTGGGCCATCCTCAACTGCTTTCCCAGGCCACAAGCAGGGAGCTGGAATGGAAGCTGGGCTGCAAGAATAGGAATTAGCACCCAGATGGGATCCCAGCGTGTGCCAGGTGAGAACTTTAGCCACTAGGCTGCTATACCAGTCCCACTGGTATTTCTTAGTGGCATCAAATGAGTCAGTTTACTTAGAGGGCCTGGCTCAGACTAAGAGGCGTTCACTGTGCTAGGAGTGAAAAAAGTGGATGGAAGAGTGTTTTTTATTACTGGCTCTCAAAAAACTTGAGGCATCAGTGGAATGTTTGAAAAGTTGAAGATAAAGCAAGTTTTCCAGGAACTATTCAATACAGTGAGCCAGAAAGGAGACATCTGAAGGCTATAAGTATTCATGATTTACAAAGTGAGAGAATGAGCCAACAAATATCATAAACGTTCAAGTGAGGAGCATCAACTTGTATGCGCAGCAGTTAAAAACGATTTATGGTGAATTTTTTGTTTTGTGAATGTGCTGTTTCAGTGACAGTGAATTGAGGTTGGTGTCGGTTCTGACATGCCCAGGGCCTCATCACTCCTTTTTTGATTTGTGTGCTGTGAGAGAAACCATTTTGAAATGCAGATCCCTGCACATGCATGAAGAAATCTACTATTGATGTCATTTTCACACCTACCATTCAATTCTAGTCCACTCTACTCCTGTCTGCCTTCAGTTGGATTGCACTGTTGATCAAGTTGTTTTACATGTTTATTCAGTGTAAGTGTATCACAAGAATATCAATTATATATTCATCTATATCATGATGAATGTTTCCTCTTCCAGCCACAGCTATATATTTATTGGAAAGTTAATACTGTTTTTGCTACATCTCATGGATTTTGATATTTTTCATTTCTTCATAAAGTGTTTTTTATTAATTTATTCAATGAATTTAGGTCATATAGTAGCATCTTTTGCTTCAAGAAGGTTTTTATTTTATTTTTCATTTCTTCAGACACACATTGATTGTTCAGTAGCATGTTATTTAAATTCATGTTGTTGTAAATTTCCTGTTTTTTTTTCCTATTGTTGATTTTGTTTTATTGCTTTTCATTTAAGGGGATGTATAGTAACTGTGTAATAGAGACTATCACATCCAGATGTGAACATAAAATGTAGTATGTTTCTCTACTTCCAAATCTGAGATGGGATTACCATGAAACTATTGAATACATCTTAACAATATGATGTTGGACTCTGCCATTGTCTATACCTACAATTTCAGGATACACTTAAACAGCAAAATGCTGGATTTATGACTGTTTCTGAAAGACTACACTATAGAAATAATATAGGAGAAATTAGTAGGGACAGGAGTTTTGGGGAGGACAAAGGGGAAATTCCAGAGCCTGTGGAACTGTATATCATCAAATAATTAAATGAAAATGTATCAATTATATATTCATATATTATCACTAGGAATGTTTTCTCTTCCTGGCACAGCCATACATTTATTGGAAAGATAAATGTCATTGAAAAATAGTTAATAACTGAACCTTGTGACATCATTCTTTATGTCTTTCCAGCGCATACAGTACTTTCCTCAAGTGTGACTAATTGCCTTTAACTCCAGGACTTTGAAGTTCCGTGGACAAGTGGATGATGCAATGTCAAAGTTTGACGCTAAGAAATGTGAAAAATGGTGTCCTAAATCTTTTATCCTTTCCCTCGTAGTTGGCCCGGCACAACAAGCTGTTACAACAGATGCTGAAACCAGGATCAGACCCTGATGAAGGAGATGAAGCCTTGAAGTATTATGCCAACCACACTGCTCAGATTGAGGTATCACATGTTTTTTTTTAAAGAACCAACAGTGCAAATATACACTTGCTTCCTTTTTCTCAAATTTTTATTTATTTGTTTGTGAGCTCTTGTCTTCTGGTTCATTCACCAAGTGCACGCAGTAGCTGGGGCTGGGCTAGACTGAAACCAGAAGTCAGTTGGAGTCTCCCACAAAGGTTGCAGTGATCTAACCATTTGAACCATCCCAGGCTGCCTCCCAGAGTACGCATTTGCAAGAAGCTGGAATTGGAAGTATAGCCAGACCCTGAACCTAGTCACTCTGATTTGAGATAGAGGAACTGAAGCAACCTCTTAACCTGTGTGCGAAATTCCTGCCTTATTGTTTACTTCCTAGTTTAGATCATTTTGATAATTTTTATTAAAACCATGAAACAGTATTTAGAGATTTAAACAGAAAAGTATGTATTAAAGATGCATGAGGAGTGCTCTCTTAAGAAGTTGATACACACACCTTTCAGAGTTGTCTTTCATTTTTTATTAGAACTATCCATAAATTTTATTATGAACTGAATAGTTATTTGTATGCCTTTTTCCCCTCCTTTTCTTTTTTATCATAGAAGCAATCATTGAAGAGCAGTGATGTTTTAAAAACAGGATACAAGCCATCATTCAGGAAAATGTTTCTTTTAAAACTCTGTGAAAGGTTTATTAAAATAGAGGTTTCTGTGTACCTGTGGAATGTATTTAAAAAATGAAGACATGGAAGGCACTGATGAAGTTTTCTTCCCAGTAGTAATATCTTGGAATGGTTCAGCAGTTTTCATTTTCAGGGTAGAGCAGTCATTCGCTTAGTCACACCTATCTCATGGCTGGCAGCAGTTCTGGAGATGTGGATCAAAATGGACTCTTCATGATGTATTGTGAGAGCCATCTGACTGTCATGCATCAGTCCCAGTGTCATTTTGACACTAGTTGAGAGAGCTAATCATGCAGAAATGAGCCTAGTAGTTGATGCTTGTCACTCTTGATTTACATTCATACGGTCATTCATTCTGGTAGAAGATTTCTTTCTTTTAGTTTTCAGAAGAATACACAGCAAGCATCACTGCTGTTTGCTCTCAGGGTATTTAGTCCCTGTTTCTTGCTGTATGCTATTACCACACCTTTAGAGTCATAAGTGCTATTGCCGTGTGCTACAAAGCGGATCCTTGCTCTCATTCGGAAACCTTAATCGTACTGTAGCTTTAGTATCAGACTTGAGCTAGTGGAACCTATGAACTGGTTGCTTACTTCCTGGTGTACATAGAACCTGGGAGGCTGGTGAAGTCAGGAGACTGGAGGAATTGATAGGAGTAAGTTGTCAAAGCATGGAGGTCCCAAGGAAAGTCCCAGAAGCCAAAGAATAGAGTTAGGGAAACAGAGGAGTTCAGGGAATAGCAGGGGGATGGTAGGCCAGAGCGTAGTCTGGTTCCTACCTATGAGTCATGAGGCTTCTGTCTGACATGGCTGTTTTTATTACACCAGTGTGAAGAGAGTTCCTGTAGAAGCAGGCATTTAGTGAATGTTCTTTGAACATTAGGCTTTATTAACTCAGACATAGAACAGATGATTCTGTATGGCCAGTGTATGAATAAAGAGCCAAGGAGACAGGTACTGGAAACAGCAGTTAATTGGCTCCTAAGAAATTTCAGGATCCCTTTCACAGAGAAGGCCGCTATTAAAAATCGCATAGATGAAGATATTGATCAGTTGATTGATTGATTTAATTTGAGTGGCTGGAGTCAGGCACAGAGGACATGTTTCGATTCATTAGTTCAGTCCCGAAGTACAGCTGCCAGTCCTGAGCAGCAGCCAGGAGCCATCCAGGTCTCCCAGGTGAGTGGCAGGAATGCAGTTCCAGTGCAGTACGCTCACTGCCTCCCAAGGTCTGCATCAGCAGGATGTCAGAATGAGAAGCAGATGCCAACATCTTAACTGATAAGTTAAATACCTTCCCCAGAATATATTAAAGATTGAATACAATTTCCTCTTTACGTAAGACCAAGCAGGATGATTTCAATTAAAAAATTAGTGAGTGAAGGGAAGCTGTCCAGGAACGTAGGATTGGGGTGACTGTTTTCAAAGGAGCAGTCTGGCTGCTGTGTGAACAAGTTGGCAAAGAAAACTGGCAGAAGCTGTGGATAGTTCAAATAGGATGATTAGAAATGTTAGTGTTGAGGAAACTTGATTGAATAATCTGTGCACATACATGTAAGTATATAGATATATGTATGTATATACACAGAGGGAGAGAGTACTAGCAGTGTTGAGATTGGATTTCACATGTAGGTCAGGAATTTGGTGTGGAAAGGCACTGGTTTGAACAAGTAACAACCCACTTTTCCTGGTGACACACCCACCACATGCTTGTCCTTTGTCTATTCAGTGTTACAAAGACAACGACAAAAATAGCTGCAGCAGCAGGAGCTGAGCCAATCCAAAGCCAGGAGCCAGGTGTTTCTGCACATCCCCATGTGGGTGCAAGGGGTCAGAGCCATCCTTCACTGCTTTCCCAGCCATAAGGAGGGAGCTGGATGGAAAGTGAAGCCACTGGGGTACAAACTGATGAGAAGAGGAGGAGCATACTTAATAAGTGGAGGCATTTTTGTTGGCATTTTCAGAAAAGGGAGGCTGAAAATGAGGGGTCCACCTTCTTTTTGTCCTGTTATGTCCTTGGCCAGTGGTCATGACAGTTGTGAATGGTAGTGACACTGGCAAAATTATTTTAAGTGTGGAGGAGTCTTGAAATCCACTTGATGTCACATTGGCAGCCACCTTGGTTCTGTCCTGTTTGAACCTATTGACTTGTGGAGGAACTTGTGTCCTAAAGGCATCCTGTTCTTAGAGGAAAACAGTGTTGGGGTGAAGATAGAGACTTAACTAGGTTGTGCAGCCATCACTTTAGGTGCTTTGTGCTAGAGTGGGAATCCCATGAGTGAAGAGTTTGGTAGTTAAAAGATAGAAGATGACTTGTTCACTCATGGACAGATTGAATTTGAGGTGTCTAGATATCCATGAAGTTGAAGATCAAAGTCTAGGCTTCAGAGTTGGGCCGCTGCTCTAAATTTTCCTTGGGAAGCCAGCCAATTGCGGTGCTTGTCTCCAAACCCACTGCTGTGACCTGCTCAGAGAAGCCACATCGTCTTCCTCCTGGCACTCATTCATTCCACCCCACAATGCTTTGGTAGTGGTTTTGTCATTAGTTGAATCCTGATCACACTGCGATGGTGTCAACCTCATATGTCACCTGTCAGCCTTTTGAGGCAGGAGATCTCGATCATCTTTGTCTTTCCATGACAGAATAGTGCTCAGAAAACAACCCCAAAAGTTAACTTTGTTGAGAAGAGTTTGTGTTTCGTTGGTAGATTTAGAGAGTCTGGAAAACAGAAGGGGCTTTGTGTTTCCTTGCCCTTCCAGGAAACAGATGTCCCTTAATACCCTTCCTCCTTGAAAAAGTCTCTCAGCAGTGGAGATCTCACTTGTTCCAGAGAAGACTGTTCCAATTTTGAGCTCTAACAATTCAACAGTTTTAGTTTTCCCTAACTAGATAATTCACAGGAACTCCCTTTAATGTTTGCTCAGTGTTGCCCCTTGAACCTGATAGCTTGGCTATAGTATTTGTTTAGGGTTTCTGTCATTTGTTGCTTTGACCTCTCCAAACCCCTTCACATAATTGGACAAATTCTTGCTGAATCAGTGTATAGCAAAATGATCCATTTTTGGCTTTTTTTACAGTTAATATGTTTTTTATTTCCTTCAGTAATCTCTCTAGTTCGCCAACACACTTTGTAAAATGTGAGGGCCAGAATCACACATTTCAGAAAGTGAATTGCTTGGCTTGTAGCTGATCTTTAAGACATCAGTTATTTACACAGAGAGTGTCACTGTTTGATGGAGTCAATCATATTTTCCCTTGTCTGGTTGCCTCCCATATCGATATGTCCAGTTGTTGTGTGTACACTTGATTTGAAAAAGAAAAGTTTATGCACGAATTTTTGTTTTCCACTACCAAATCTCATCTTGTTTGTTTTATGATAACATTCAAGGATATGGTTTGAATTGTATATAATATATTATTTAGGATACCTTCAGTTACAAATGTAACAGAATACCAGATTAACCATTGTTTGAGCAGTAAAAAAAAATATGTATTATGTTATTGGATTTCTGGAGGTGCAGGCGGTTCTATAATTATTTGGTGACTCAGTGATATCTTCAAACAGACAGACCTGACCAGCCTTTCTGCTGGATTCCCTGGCAAGCTGGCAATAGTCTGTTTCATGGTTGCAAGGTGGCTGCCAGAGTTTTAAGCTTTGCACCCTCAATTCAACCTTTTGTCCTAAACATCAAGAAAGAAAATGCAGGCTCGTTCTGTTATTATTATTTTTTTAATCTCCTGTGGTTCTCTTTCTTTATTGGAAAGTACAATATTTCCTAGAAGCCCCATGCAGACTTTTCTTTATGCCTTTTTTTCTGGAACTTGGTCACCACCACAGCAGTCAATGCTAGAGAGAATTAGAATTGCCACCTTGAGTTAGATCAGTGTTATTCTCCCAGGGACAGGACACAGTGTATACAGAAGAACCTTGAAGTTGAGGTGCCAGGAATCCTGTTACATAGTGAAGCTATATGACAGTGGTTTTGTTGTTGTTTTTGCTAAATAGTCAAGTGTACCAAATTTTAAAAGGTCAAACTAATGAATATTTACGTATATTCATACATATGTTAAAATTAATGTTTTGGGGCCAATGTGACAACTAATTGGCTAATCCTCAATGTGCCGTATGGGTACTGTTTTGTGTGCCAGTTGCTCTATTTCCCATCTAAGTCCCTGCTTATGGCCTGGGAAGGCAACAAAGGATGGCCCAACCTTAAGCTCCGTTCCCCTCCCATGCCGTGGGATACCTGGAGGAGGCTCCTGCCTTCTGGCTTTGGATCAACTCAGCTTTGGCTGTTGCAGCTACTTGGGGGAGTGAATCAGTGGATGGATATTTTTTCTCTGTCCCTCCTTTCTGTAAATCTACCTTTCCAATAAAATAAGTAAAGCTTAAAAATGAAAATGTATGTTTTATCTTGCCATGAGTAGGAGAGCGTTTTGTTGACATAAAGCACCATTCTCTGTAGAACTCAGGATGTGTGATACTGAAGGAAAGTCATTTGTTCTCTAGCAGCCCCTTTTAAGGACTGACGGGCTCAGCATGTGCATGGATGCTGAGGCTGCCTTGCCAGTCACCTGCTTGACTGCCCTTGTTCTCTGTTGTGCTTTACAAAAATTAAAATGACAAAAGCTTAATAATAACCCACAAAAAATGAAAGAAATTCATTTATTTATTATTGATTGTGTGTTTATAACCTGTTTATTTATTTTAACGAGAAAACGTAAAGCAGTACAATGAAGGACTTTTAGATATTTCAGATCAGCACATTTCTTCATAATAATTCATAAAATATCATTCATGAGCTCATATATAAAACAGGAGATAGTCCAAGGCTGAGGTGTGCAGAAGACTAAGAACAAACATGAATTACCATTTTCAGATTGTTCGGCACGATAGGACCATGGAGCAGATCGTTTTTCCTGTCCCCAACATATGTGAATATCTCACGCGCGAGTCCAAGTGCCGTGTGTACAATACGACCGAAAGGGATGAGCAAGGAAGCAAAGTAAATGACTTTTTCCAGCAAACGGAAGACCTCTACAATGAAATGAAGTGGCAGAAGAAAATCAGGAGTAAGTATTGCAAACTGAAGCAGTTCATTTTGTGTACTATGGTGGATAAATGGGAATTTTTTTAAATGCAGGATGGCAATTCAGTTAAATCCTTTATTAATTTCTGATTAGCCTGATGTTTCTGCAGCCCCTTTTATATGTAAGAGTTTGAGCTCAGTGTTTGGCCAGAGCAGAGGCACCTGAGCTTTAATGAAAGCGGAGAGCTGTTAGACTGGCCTGTACTGATGATACTATATTTTCAGAAATGTTGTGAAATGCAAGGTTGCAGCTGTACCAGCTGGTGAGCAGTTGCAGGTCTGAAATCTGAGAATAACCACACCTGGCTTCGACAATGACCAGAGTGGAGCAACACTGGCACCCACACGCTCTTCCTCTGTTGTCCTGAGACTGAAGGGATTGTTTCTATGGGAGTCATTCTTTCAGTGTTATCTCTGCATCCCCAAACACCATTTCATCACATGTGTTCAAATAAAATAATGTTAAAAAGTTGCACAAAGTAGTGTAGCTCAGTTCCCTTTAAGTGCTGGATTTTAATAGGTAAAATTTAAAAGGGCATGCACTCAATTTTCCCAAATAATGCATAGCGTAAGATTATAGCAGAAAGTGAAACAGAGAACTTGTTGATCTGACTTTTGAGAAGTTGCCCTGACAAGCAGGCATGCTTTCTTGATACATCTATTCAATAGCATTTCATCTTTGTAGGAATATTAATGGTTATAACTTATGGATTTGAGTAGAGCTTGAAAAACACTCCCTTTAGATAGAAGATTGTGACATGAATTTCCAGCATCTCTTAGCAGAAAGTTTGAAAAGAATCAAGAAAGAAATTACTTTCTCTTAACATTTTACCTTGTAGAACTTATGGAACTCAGTAAAATCTTTTGGGGTGTCCAACATACATATGAAGACTCATAAATCTTATTTGTAACATTTGGACAACATGCATTTTTCTCCTTGACAAAAAAAAAAAAGTAAATTGAATAATGAACTAGCTAGCAGCGTAGGTTCTGTGCTTTTGTGATCATTTTTCAGACTATCAATACATCTTAAATGGTTTCCAATGTGTGTTTTAATTTAAAATCTTTAAGACAGCCTCTATTAAGAGGCTAAAGAATCTAATTTGCTTGGCAGAATTGTAATTAAGCACTTACTAGAAATGGATGCATCAACACCTTCTAAATTTGTCTTAACATTCTTATTTGAAAGCAAGGACTCCTGATTTATGAGTGATGAGAATGTAGATATCATATGTGACCTGCCAGTTAGTGACCTGTCATGGCTCATCATAGCATATTCTATGGTGGAGATACTGTTCCCAAGAGAAGGATAAGAAGATATGTGGAAGGGAAGAACAATTTATACATGATGGCAATGCTAGATTGCAGTTCACAGATTTTGTCTGACAAGTTGATCATTTCCTTTTGAAAACTAACATTTTGTCCCTCCAATTAGCTGCAATATTTTAATCCCGATTTTAAGATGGGCCAAGTTAGAGAATGGACAAGACCTGATAGAGCTATATGGGTACCCAGGGCAGAATAATTATTTAGGCTTCCATTAAACCTTATATGCCTTTAATATCTGCTCAGTTTCTTAGGAGAGGTGGGGAGAATTGATTTTCAGTTCAACTCTCTTCAGTAGATGTGTTCACTAGTTCATTTCTGTTGGCAGACTGAGTTCCTTTTCTGAAACTACTTAGCAAAACTGTTTATCCTGCTTGTGGACAGTTCTTATCATGGCTTTTATCTCCTTCTGTTTCAAACCCAACAAGTCACTCAGAAGTGTAAGGTTTAAAATGTACATAATATAAAGTACTAGTTAACAGTAAAGTCGCACTATACCACAGTATGAAGTTTCAGAGTTTCAGGTAACTGGAATCCTGTTGTAGGAATTGTCATTACAATTGTGTACAAGATAGAGGGTTTGTGTTTTCATTTGACTTTAAGACATAAGAGTGGGGCCTGTTGGTCAATAATACCAAATTGCATAGTGATGGATGTCATTCCATTTAGAAAGGACCTCAAGCATATGTTGAATGCCTCCCCCTAGAGGAAATGGAATCAAATTTGTTAACTACCTTTTGCAGTTATGGAGTTTCCTTTCTATGATCATTTAGGTGTAAAGTAGCTAATGGATGAAAAAAAATGAATTAAATAGAAAACTCCCTTATGGTTCTGATTATTTTTACTAGACCATCTATAACCAATCATCTTAACTTTTTAAATGTGGTTTTTGCAGTAGTTCACAAATGCATTTAGGAAAACATGCCAGTAAAGCTCATGTTTTGAAACGGTGATTTATTTTCTGTCCTGTCTCCGTGCCCTTCCTGCTTCCTAGATAACCCTGCCCTGTTCTGGTTCTCGAGGCACATCTCTCTTTGGGGCAGTATTTCCTTCAACCTGGCCGTATTCATCAACCTGGCTGTGGCGCTCTTCTATCCATTTGGGGATGATGGAGACGAAGGCAAGTGCTTGTCTTTACTTTAATCATATAGACCTGAAAATTCCAAGACTGATAACTCCAAATATGTTCCTTAACTGTTTAGAACTTCTACATGAGAATAATTTAACTCTTATTGAATACATTTCTCTATATTCATTGCAAGGTGAATATGATAGAAAGTGGACAAAGCATAAAATTGGTGAATACAAATGTTATTTTTTTAAAAGTTTGTGCACAGAATACTATTAGTATGTCTTCATATACTGACACATAAAGCATGGAAAAAAATTGATGATTTCTGCCTCATGATTATGGCAAAAGCAATGCATATGGTATCACCTAAATTACTTGAGAAGTTTTTTGTACAGATACTGTAATTACCTTCAATAGAGGCATTTACATTTTATTCACTTGGCTTTCTGACTTGAGCAAAGTCTCCATGGTAAGCATGTATGTAACTTAAGAAACAATTCTAATTTTATAAAAATACAAAGTTGAATATTTATAGCCTCAGGCTTCAGTAATGTCCAAAGTACTACAAACATCTAGTAACAGACAATTGAGAGTGTTGACTATTAAATTAATATTGTTAAGGGATTCATGCATGAGCCTTCATAAAAGGAAAGACAAGAGGAATGCTATTTCCAGTGAAATAGGAGATACTGGAGAAATAACTGGAAGGATGGAACTTTAGGAAATAACCTAAGTTTGGCGATTGCTGGGGAACATACATTTCAGGCTTCAGATTTAGTTTGAAATGGGTGTGGAAAATATGAAGGAAACCAGTAATAACCATGAGATGCTTTTAAGCTTCATCTGTACATAAGATTATTGTGACAATTTACTGGGATACTGTAGGTAACACATTTAGGAAAGTGTCTGGGAAGTGTTTGATACAGTTTAATTGCTGTTGTTGCTAATATAAGTAAATATTCATACTACTGAAACAAACCTAATAGATGGTCTGGTGAGCGCAACCAATTTATGAACTTTTTCAAATGAGCACGAGAATCAGTGCAAGTCCAAGAGTGATTTTGTATTGAACAAGTCCATCACAGATCACATCAATGTCAAGGTTCTAACCTTTAGCTGCAGTCTGCGTGCTTATGACTAAAGGATGCTCTTTTGGAATCCATGTGAATGATAAAATAGAGTGGTTGCGTCAGTTAGATAACAGTGAAAAACATAGCAAATGTTTAGTTAGCCTTTGTGTTCCAAGAAGTGGAAACAGCTTTCTCCTTCCTGAGTTTCAGTTCCTTTAGTGTTTAACTCTTGGCACACAAAGAAGTTACTGTTGTAAGGAGAGGAGTCCAGACCAAAATGATAAATGAGTCTAATTTGCACAACGATCACGGGGAAGGAATGGTAGAGTCCCGGCTAAGAGAAGCACAGTCTTAGAGATGGATGCCATTCTGGAACTCCTCAAACATTGCACCTTCACTTGACAGATGAAGGCATAGAAGCTCAGAGAGGCTTGAATAATGACACAGCTCAGGGTGGAAGGCTGGCCCTCTGTGAGCAGCCCAGGGATCTTTCCATGGATGACTGGATGAGTGCTGCATTCCTGGGTTCCATTCCATGACTTCCCTTGCTGGATGAGCAGAAAGGAGTCTAATTTCTGCAGGCACTTGTTGTGCATGATGCAGTGTTATCGAGAAATGTCACAGTTGCTCTTTGCTCATGCAGGAAAAAACAAAACACTTGCTACACACTTAATAGATGTAATAATAAGATCTATGATAACAACAACTGATGCTGTTTATCATTTCAGTTTGGCTCATAACACATATAATGTTACTACATCTACCTGACAAACCTGTATAAAAAATGCTTCATTTTTATGGATGGATGCAGAAGCAGAGGGTTAAGATTTACCTAGCGATTGAGGCATTGAATCCAGAAATAAGTAAATACTTTATACAAGTAATCTTACCAGGTATTCTTAAATGCATCTGATTCTGGAACAAGGACTTGAAGCCACATTTGTAAGACAGTTTCAAGGTAGGCTCCAGGTTCAGTCAGAAATAGTGTGGACAAACAGGAGACCAGAAGACACGGTGCCCATTGAAGTGCACATGTTGACCCTGCAGATGGGACAGACTGGGAAGGCATCAACATAACACTCAAGGTGAAGGTTCACTATCAGTCTGTCCAGATCAGAATGGAGAACACGAGCTGCCATTTTGTTAATTCCAAAATGATTCTGGGTTATGTGACAACAGCTCTGGATGAGTGGTTTTACTTATAACTTCTTGAATAAGACTGAAATCTTGTTGGAATTAGGTCATTCTCTGTATCATAGTCACACGTTAGGCATAGCTAGGAAGCTAAGCCAAGGCCGAAGCACATTTGGCTATCAGAACTGTCTGCAGAAGGGAAATTCTGGGCTGCTTATGAAAATCCTGATGCTGGATTGGATCAAACAAGTGGAATGGCTACTCTCCAGGAACACTTTGAAGTGATTTAGACAGATTAGTTGACTCTTAAGGTTTGTCTGACAAGTGATCAACTAATGATGTAGGTATGTCATAGAGCACAATATCCAACCAGAAAGGTCTCCCAGTGGCCAGATTGAAAAAAGTTTGGAGAAAAATAACTGACAGTAACATATGGTAGCCCTTAGAATGAAATATGATTGTAGATGCTCATATTAATAATGAAAAAGAGAGCTCTTTCTTTTAATAATGTTCCAGTTAATAAAATGCAGAAAGTAGAATGAGGTTGAACCACACCATTGGGCAAACAGCCTCAGGAGTAAGAATTACTGCTGTGACTTGTTTTTCTCTTGGGTCATGTTGCTTTGCAAGCTCCAGATGCTCTCTGTTCTCATACAAGGAAATATCAAGAAGGAGTTTTCAGTTTGTATAGGCATAAAAAATGGTGTATACAGAATGAATTCCACTTTAAAAAATCCAGTATTTTCACTCTCACTCCATTTCCCTGGTACCACCTGTGCCATTGCTGGGGCAGCCTCATGGTAAGTGCCTATTTCCCACTGTTCTGTGCACCATATCTGCCTGGGCTCCTAGAAATCCTCTGCCCTGCAGTCTTCCACATCCCCAAGACCCGGAGGCTCTGTCACGGGCTCTGAGTGCATTGTGCCCAAAGCCAGTGGCCACAGCTGAAGAAGTGGAAGAGAGACACAGTGTGATCTTCAACTGGAGCCAAAATAGCTGTCACCTACCAAAGCCACCCTCAACCAGAACCTAACCTGTCAAACCAGTAGCCAACATCTTCAGGAAAAAGCCATTTCCTGCAAGTGGCACCTTATAAAATGGGTGAAAACAACTGACAATGCCAGCTTTGAAAATTTTGTCATAGGAGCACAAAGCAGAAAAAAAGCAAGATAACATGACACCCCCAAAGAACACAATAACTCTAGCAAAAGACCCCAAAGGATACATCATTGATGAAATGCCTGATAAAGGAGTCAAAACAGTGGTTACAAGGAAACTCAGAATCAAGAGAATACAGAAAGTTCAGAGAAATAAAAAAAAATGAGAAACTCCTTGAAGAGATAAAGCTTATAAAGCAGTATCAAATGAAGTATTGCAATGAGGAATTTTTAAGTCACAAAAAAAAAAAAAATTGAAAGCCTCAACAGCAGGCTGTATTCATCAGAAAAAATACTCTGTGAACTGGAAAGCATTTCTGAAGAGATGCTCGCAGGCAAAACAGAGGAAAGAATGAAAACAGTCAGCTTCTGGAACTCGCAATACGCCAAGAAATGAACAAATTCATGGGTTTCAGAGTCCAAGGAGGCAAAAAGAAGGGGAAGAGCATAGAAAAGCCTGTTCAGTGAAACAATTGTTGGAAAACTCCTTGATTTGGAAGCATGTGGACATCTAGGTACAGGAGACCTGTAGGACCACTAATAGACCAGAATAGATCCTGATCATGACACATTATAGTCAAACTGTGAAACGTACAAGACAGAGAAGAGAGACAGACAGACAGACGAGAGAGAAGGAAGAAAGATCTAAAATGCTGCAATAGAAGGGCATTACTTTGGAGTTGGTATTGTGGCACAGAAAGATAAGCGACTTCTTAACAACTCCAGCAGCTCATATCAGAGAGCCAGTTTAATTCCCAGCTGCACTATTCATGATCCAACTCCCTGATAATGCACCTTGGAAAAAGCATCCCAAAAATGACCCAAATGTGTGGGTCCCTGGCAGCCATATTGGAGACTCAGATGGAGTTGTTAGCATTTGCCTTGGTCTGGCCCATCTCTGTCTGGCTTGGCCATTTGGTAATGAACCAGCAGATGGAAAATCAATGCTCACTTGAGCTCGCTATCTTTTTCCTGCTAAATAACTCTTAAAACAAAAAGCAAAAAACTCCAAATCATTTGTAAGTAAATACTCATTAGATTAACAGCATTTTTCTCAGCAGAAACTTCACAAACTGCAAGGAAATAGAATGACCAACTCCAAGTTCTGGAAAGAGACAACTGCCAATCCGGAATAGCACACCCAAGAAATCTATCCTTAAACTTTTTCTTTTTTTTTTATTTTTTCATTGGAAAGGCAGATATACAGAGAGGAGAGACAGAGAGGAAGATCTTCCGTCCGATGATTCACTCCCCAAGTGAGCGCAACGGTCGATGCTATGCCGATCCGAAGCCAGGAGCCTCTTCCAGGTCTCCCACGCGGGTGCAGGGTCCCAAAGCTTTGGGCTGTCCTCGACTGCTTTCCCAGGCCACAAGCAGGGAGCTGGAAGGGAAGTGGAGCTACTGGGATTAGAACCGGCGCCCATATGGGATCCCGGGCGTGCAAGGAGAGGACCTTAACCTCTTGCGCCACCGCGACGGGCCCCTTAAACTTTTTTTGTTCTTTATAGTCCGTCACCACCAGATGGTCTTACCCAAGGTACTTAAGGCAGTCCTACATCCAGAAGTGAGACTAACATCACGAGAATGCGTGGGAGTATAAAATCCAATAGGAGAGCAAGTACAGTAAGGACAAATGAAAATGTAACCGTATTAATTAAACCACCAAATCAAAATTAAATAGTAGAAGAGGAAGAACAAAACAAAGGATTTTCAAAATAGAATAAAATGACAATAATAATTTGCTCTTTATTAATAATAACCTTGATGGTAAACGAAATCTCCTAATTAAAAGACACGAAGTAATTGGATTAAAGAAAACAAGACCCATGGGACCAATATTATGACACAGTAGGCTAAGCTTCCACCTCTAGTGCCAGCATTCTAAATGGGAACAGGTCTGTGTTCTGGCCACTCTACTTGCCATTCACCTGCCTGTTAATAATCTGGAAAAACTGCAGAGGGTGGCCCAAGTGCTTGGGCCTCTGTGCACCCACATGAGAGACTCAGAATAAGCTCCTGGCTCCTGACCTCGAACTGGTGCACCTCCATCTGTTTATGAAGTGAACCAGTGAATGGAAGAACGAGCTCTCTCCTTATATCTGTAATCCAGCTGCCTTTGAAATAAAAAAATAAAATAAATCTTTAAAAGAAAAAAAAAATGAAGATCCTTCTGTGTCTACCTATAAGAAATTAATTTCACCAGTAAGATTATGCAAGATTTATAGTAAATAGACATTTATCCCATGCAGACAGAAACCACAAGCACACATGAGTAGCTATTTCTATATCATACAAAGCAGATTTTGGGGGGGAAAGCTGTCAAATGAGACAGGTAAGGTCTCTATGTAATTATCAAGGGATCAGTTCAGCAAGAAGATGCCGGTTATACATGTGTACCTATCCAGTGCTGGGAGATCTTGGTGTTATTAGATCCAAAGGGAGACAGGGCTGTTGAACACTGCAGTTATCAATGGACAAATCATTCAGCTATAAAATCAATGAATACAGGTTAAACTATACTGTGGCTAAGAGGGGGCCTAAGAAGACATTCATACATTGCTTCATCCAACAGCTGTGTCATATAAATTATTTCTATTAGAACATGGAACACTTTTATTTAAAACAGACCATATATTAGGCCACAGAACGAATCTTAACAGATATGAAAAAACTAAAATCATGTGAGGGTACACTGAGAAGTTCAAGGAAAAGTGAACTTGAAAAGTAAGTTATTTTGATGTAAAAAAATGTATATTTCACAGAAAACATTTCATGATATGCATTACCATGAACTTTCTAAGGATATCATGTATGTTTTGTAACCACAATGAAATTAAGTTGGAAAAAAGCAACAAAACAGACTTGAGGAATTACATACATTTGTGGAGACTGAATATGATTTTGGGCAATGATATATTAAAGAAACCAAAAAAAAAAATTTAATAAAAGTTGAAGGTTGCCATGTCAGCCGCCTCTGGCCTGGGTTTCAGTAGGTAAAAGCACACTAGCCAGGGGTTGGGGGGAAGACAATCAATGAAAAAGTAGCAGGCGACCTTAAATTCCGTTCTTTTTTCCCTCAAGTGCTTTGTGTTCAAGAAAATAAGTTCTTCAAGGTGATTTCCATTCACTCAAAGAAACAGTCACTAATGGAAGGACACAGACCCCGTGCTAAGCTTAAAGACGCAAAGATTGGTCAAACTGCCCCGTGTCCTCGTCCTGGAGGAGTCAGCGGTCTGGTTAGGTAGCCAGGGAGTGAGTACGGCATGCCACTGCAGGCCACCTGAGGATTTATGGATGGAGGTAGGGGAAGCAGAGGAGCTTTTTGAGGCCACGTGGGAGGTAGAAAAAAAGAGAGAGATTGGAAAGAAACAGCATGCTCCATAAAGGAAACTATAAACAAGCCAGCAGGAGGTAGATAGCGAGTTCCATTATGTGAATGGAATTGAAGTTTCCAATTTTGCTGTGTCAATTTTCTTTTATAAAGGATAAACTTTATACGTTCTAAGATTTAAAAATATAGAGGGTATATGCTGGGGAAAAAATTTTTTTCCCGTTGTAATTTGTTTCTAGAATATTGATACATATATAAGCTATTAAAGGGAGAAAGCAATTAATGGGCAGTTACTCTCTTTGAAAATCTGTGCCTCTTCAGCAGTTTGTTGGAGAGATTTCCATCTTTTTTTTTTTTTAAGCACTGAATCCTAAAGCAGATAATTACAAGATGAGAAGTGTTGATTCATAGCTATTTTAAATAGCGTTGTAGTTTGCTGATACTAAAAGTGTATATTGAATATTAAACTGTGAAAGATTATGCTGTCCACTGGGTTTTATTTTCACAGAGGGATCAAACACCAACTTTGTAGTGCATGGTTATAATTTTTGATAATCCAGAGGAAATCTTCGCCAGTTGGATGCTATGTGGCTTAACTTACCAGGCTCAGTGAGGCCATCTAAGTCAAACCTGGGACTTGTAGAAGAATGTCCCACTGAGACATTATTGGTGAATCGCCGTGGAGAGTCACATGACTGGCCATTGAACAACTTTAGTTCAGTGTATCTTGGAAATGTTGGCGGTTGCAGTATAGTGAATTTCCAACTAAGGAGTTTGTGCCCGGAGACAGTTACTCCAGGTGAACTCACAGACTGTTTTTCTTTGTGCCCTTAATAACAAGTGTGCATTGGATGCTGCATGTCAGGCCCTGTGTGAGGCCAAGATGGCCCTCCCTGGGCTGATATTCGGTTTGGGTTCCAAGTCCTGGTCAGCATGGAGGAGGCCAGGGCTACCAATTTGTTTCTGGCTGTTTAGGATTACTGAAATTAAAACTGCTTGTAGTAGGTTATATTTTGCTAGAAATAAAGCTTGTGAAAGCCACCATTAGCATAAACACGAGTAGGAGATCCATTTTGTTAGCCAAGCTGGTGGACAGGAATTGGAGTTAGCTTTGGATGTCACATTAGTAAGTCATATAAATAACAGGGAGAGGTGTGCTGGAAGAATCAGAAGTCCTGTAGAGTATTTGCCAAAGGAGATATTGGGAAGTCTCCATTAAGTTACTCGCCCCTGACTGTGTCACCCCACAGACACGTGTTTGAGATCCCAGGCTGATCCAACCAGCAAGGAATGTGGCCCCCAGTCCACTTCCGCAAATGCAGTGCTGCGTGACCTTCAGCCAGGAATTTCTTGAACCACATGCTAGGGCAAATGTCAGTGAATCCTACTTCTTCTTAACGGAAAGTTATTTTTAGTCCTCTTTTATGGAGAGTTTCAAGCAGATTACATTTTTAATGGAGATCAATATTGAAACAATTGAAACCTTTATTTTCTGATCATGAAAAACTTTAAAACTTGATCTGGCCTTGAAATATACATTTTCATGCATAGCCATCTATATAAATGCATATATATAAACATATTTAACAGCTAAATATTTAGCATATTCAACAGCTAAAGCGTGTATCTATTTTGTAAAGACTAGGTAGTCAACATTGCAGGATTCTTCAGAGAATTATATAATGTGGAAACTGGGTAATAACAGATTCAGACATGGTATGAGTCTGAGGCAGAAAAACCTGATCTCTAGTGATTTAGCCATGCTGTTGATGTCCATTAATCATAAATTGTGAATTAAGGTTTTCCATTGAGATATACCTATCAAAAGTATTTAGCAGGTTCCTTCCCCGTGGGAGAAAGTTGAGTAATTTCTAGACTTAATGGAAGGAGCATTAACTGGTAAGTATTGAAGTAGCCCGAAATTAATCACAGACTTTCTGGAAATTTAATAATGAGTAATGTGTTCCAAGACATTTCCTGAAAGTATACCTTAGTTTTGTTTTGAAATTCAGTGCATCACAGCTGGACTTGGGTTCAAATATGAAGATGAGGAACAAGTATTTTTTTTTTACATATTTTAGTTTCAATCTCAGTAAAAATGAAAACTGCTTTCACATTTTGCAGGTACACTTTCTCCATTGTTCTCCATCCTGCTTTGGATCGCAGTTGCCATCTGCACCTCTATGCTGTTTTTCTTCTCCAAGCCTGTCGGTATTCGGCCATTTCTTGTATCAGTAATGCTACGATCCATATATACGATCGGTCTTGGGCCTACATTAATACTTCTTGGTGCAGCTAATGTAAGTATTTACTGTCATTGAATCGGTTAAAAGTGCTTTAAATCTAAATATATAGAATTATATGCTGTAATTCCTGCATACATGCTGAATTCTTTTATAACATTTATTTATTTTTATGGAAAGGCAGAGAATAGATACAGAAAGATTTTCTGTCTGCTGATTCACTTCCCAAGTGGCCACAGCAGCCAGAGCTGAACCAATCCAAAGATAGGAGCCAGGAGCTTCCTCTGGGTCTCCCACGCGGGTGCAGGGTCCCAAGGCTTTAGGCTGTCCTCTCCTGCTTTCCCAGGCCACAAGCAGAAAGCTGGATGGGAAGCAGGGCTGCCGGAATTAGAACTGGTCCACATGAGATCCTGGCACATTCAAGGTGAGGTCTTTAACCACTATGCTTCCGCACCAGCCCCACATGCTGAATTTTAATTTGTTTTGAATCTGAATTAACTGGAGGATAATTTATAGATTCTTTTTGTGAGAGAAAGAAGAAAAACTGGCAAATAGCAAGTTGATATATTTTAAAGAAGATAATATTTGGGGCCTGATCCACTTGTGCCATCAATTTAATGCAATCCAGCTTTGAACAAAAGCAGCAGTAGTTTCCCTGTTTAGTATCAACTGCATCCCACTCTGAGACTTTGTTCTGCAGAGCAGTAACATGCCCTACAGGTCCTAGGTTCCAAGTTCAAAAAACAAGAGAAGTCGGTATTGGTTGTTCACTTCATAGTGGTGAATTCTTATTTAATTTTCAAAAAATTGTACTCATTTGAAAGGCAAAATGACAGAGACAACCAGAAAGGCAGAGAAAGAGAGCTTGCATCTGCTGTTTCCTCCCTCCCAAGTAGCTGCAATCGCTGAGGCTGACCAGGCCAAAGCCAGGAGACAGAAACTCCGTCTGGGTCTCTCCCACGGGTGGCTGGGATCCAAACACTTCGGCTGTCATCTCCTGTTTCCCAGGTGCCTTGGCAGGAGCCAGGATTGGAGGCCAGAGTCTGACATCTCAGGGGGCAGCTGAACCCACTGCACCACAACAGAGACCCTGTTTCTAGCAGAAATTTTTATAATGATAAGAACTGAAATACCTTGTTCATTTCAGAATTTTAATCCCATCTATCTTTCTTCGATATGTGAATGTTGCCGATCGTTTCCCTGCATAGATTTTTATTATTCAATCTACAATTAGAGATCAGGAGATGGCCTATAATACTTTGTCTTAAATATTATCCTAAAAATCATTCTAGTTTTTGATTTTATCTTTATAGAGCTTACTTGTGTGTATTAATAAATGATAGTGTGTAACTTGAGTTAAATAGCATACATTTAAACAGAAGTCATTCAACAATTTAAAGCATAAACTATAAAATATTAGTTGACCCAGACCCTCTGTTTTTCATCATTTGCATGGGAATGTAAACTTGCATCTACAGCAATAACTTGTACATATTTCCTTGTTTTTAAATAATGACTTTGTATAATAGAAACCCGCTCTTGAAAGTAACTATAAAGATTTTCCTGATAATTTAGCTATATTTGATAGCAGTGTAAATACTAGTGATGAAACACCATGTGAAGACTTCCTCTTTGACTTTATTGAAATGGTGCACAAGATGATGAGAGAGCTGACAGCATCGATTATTGAGAATAGGTGATCAGCAGGGGAGAGTTTAGACAAAATTTGGCCTTCTCCATTGTTGTGTTGTTGACTTGGGTGATTCATTTTATCTGTAATGATTGGGATTTCAGGAAGTTCAAGGGATAAGTTTCCAACCTTGCAACTTTCACATCTGCATCAAAGTAATATGTTGCTACCTGTGCTATTTAAAACCTTTCTGTAACTGATTTTTCCATACCTATCCAAAAAAGAAAAAAAAAAAGTAGTGTTGCAATGAGCCACCTATTTTCCCAAAGTTGGATTAGACATTGGCCTACAAAGATGTATCCTAAAGAACTCGGAATACATTAGGAAGAGTAAGCTGTGTGATTCTTTTCCGAGTTACTGAAGGGCAAGACTGACTTTAGTATAAAAGCAATGTAGTTACCCTAGATCCAGACAGATAGCATTAACTAAGTAACTGTCGCATTGTGAGTCATTATCCAAATCACTGTGACTGTCACCTTAGTCTCGGCATCCATTTTCATGTTCCATAATTCTACCACAAAATGCATCATTAAATATAGCCTGTATATAAATATGCTACATACTCAGAGGTCTAATAAACACCTCAGAATGGTAAGTGAATAATTACCACACATATAGCTTAGAAAATAGATAACACATATTTTAACCCAGATGCATAAGTGTATTTATATTTTCCTTGCCTATGAAGTAAGTTAAATGCAAAAATAATTCAGTGTCTTAATTGTGTAAAATAATACTCAGGAGGTTGGCTGCAGTTGGCTCCCTATGGGTCCAGTTTATTTCTTGGCTGCTCCACTTCTGAGCTACCTCCCTGCTAGTGGCCTTGGGGAAAGCAGCAGAACGTGGCCCAAGGCCTTGGGTTGCTGCCACCAATGTGGTAGAATGGGAAGAAGCTCCAGGCCTGTCTGCCATCTGGGCAGTGAATCAGTAGATGGAATCAGTCTCCCTCTGTCTTCCTCTGTCCTTCTCTCCCTCTCTCCATCTTCCTCTGTCCTTCTCTCCCTCTCCCCCCTCTTCCTCTGTCCTTCTCTCCCTCTCCATCTTCCTTCCCTCCCCCCTCCTTTCCTTTCTTTCTCCCTCCACCTCTCTTGCTGTCCCTTGTCTTTCTGCTTCCCTTGTCTTTCCCTTCTTCCACCTGCTTTCTTGCCTTCCTCTCTCCTTCTCCCTTTCATTCTGTAGCGGATAAAACTCAGTGGAGAAATTCCAGCGTTAACAAAAATCAAGGACAAATCTCTGAATGTTTTTATTTTCAATATATTCTTACATTTTGAGCATAATAAAGACCATCTTACATAGTCATTCATGTACAATATGTAACAAAAGTCGTATTTAAGGTGTTATTTTAAGTGTTTCATTTATTTTATGTTACTTACTCTTCTGAAGAATTCTATGGGACAGAGATTCATTGATTCCAGGTTTTTGTTAGAAACCATCAGGATCTGCAATTGCACCAGAAGCCCCATGGTTTGAATTCAGGTCTGTCCGCTACGTAGCTAACTCAATTAACATTTCCTTTCTCTTTAAGTGTAACTGTGAGAAACAAAAATCTGCATGTATTTTTATTTTATAGGCAGAATTGTTGGCAATGTTGAAAAACTGCAAAGATGAGATAAATCATGAAAGAAAATCATAGACTTGGCAAATGATAGTTCTTGTCCACATCCTGCTGTTATGTGATTCTCAGGATAAACCAGTCAGATCTCGTCTGTTCCTCCCCTTAGCTTTGCAATAAAATCGTGTTTCTGGTGAGTTTCGTCGGGAACCGTGGCACATTCACCCGAGGCTATCGGGCCGTCATCCTGGACATGGCGTTCCTGTATCACGTGGCCTATGTCCTGGTGTGCATGCTGGGCCTCTTTATCCACGAGTTCTTCTATAGCTTCCTGGTGAGTACGTCTTCTTGGGGCCAGCCGCTGCTGTGAACACACACACTGCTGCTGCCGTATCTGCCCCTTCCTTTGATACTTATTTATTTAAAGAAGAGTCTGACATTTAGAACAAGATCTGTTATTTTTAGAATTTCCTGGAGAAAGTATGAATTATTATCATTTGTATTGCCCTTTTATTGAGGAAGTCACAGCGGTGGTGGATTCTCTGTTTTGTCTCTGAGAGGCAACCTGCTGACCCAGGTTTCAGATGAGTGACGCAGATAGGTTGTTTGCGGTTTCAGCCAACTAGAATCTTTTAAAGATTCTCCGAAAGAATAGGAATGTGGGGGGCAGTAGTTCACTTGGGTGCTGAAATCATCTGTTTTATTTACGGTATTAAATACTACATGCGTCTTTAAAATGGCAGCTACGCAGCAGGAGGGCAGACAGGCCAACACTGCAGGAAAAGGTTTTTTATTCCAGGTTTGTTATTGAACTGTTTTTTATTCCAGGTTTGTTATTGAACTGTTATGCATATATTTCACTTATTAAATGGATTTTTCTGTAGAGTTACTGTGTTTTTTCTGGTTGTCAGTTTTAGCTCCTAAATACGATCGGTACTATTTTCAAGCCACAGGCCAGGTAAGGAAGCAGTAAAGCAACAGGACAGTGTTTGGAAATTGGCAGCACGACAGGATAGCATCCTATGAGGCTGTCAGAGCCATTTATTTATATCTGCAGCTTATAGTTGACGTGCAGTTGACAACACTGTCCGATGAAATGCAGCCTGGCCACGAGTTAAAGATCTAAGCACACTTTGATGAACTAGTTTGCTTGGATCATCAAGGGCAAGTCAGCACCTCCTGTGTTGCCGTCTCCAGCGCACCCCTGGAGGAGGACAGAATCAGGCCAATTTTCCATTTCCCCCTAAACCCACGGAAGCGACCCAGTGAGCTGTGGATTTGCCTGTTAGATTTTGATACAGATACATTTTCTGGGCAGCTGAGTTAGATCATGCAGCAAAACACTTTTCTGCTACAGCGATCCAAATGGATTCTCCATCTGCCTCCTGTTTTGAAGTGCTATACCCAACACTTTTAGAGGATGGCAAAAATGCAATAGTGTATCACTTTTTGAATCACTTTATTAAGATCTGATGGACATAGAAAGGCTAGACATCTGTAGTATATACAACTTGATGAATTTACAAGGATGAATTTACAAGGATTTTGTGCTTCAGCTCTCTAATTTATCTAAAGGGATAGCAGTAGTATGGGAGACCAGTAATATCATTGAACAGATAACAGAGAAAAACAGAATAATATTTGTTGTTAGCAGAAATGCTGCTTTTCTGTTCCTTTGCCCTTTTCTCTAGTTTTGCTTCCCTCTAGGGTTTTGTCTTACAATTCTTACAATAGTGATACCAGTATTGTTTTAAAGGGGTTGTTTATAATGACAGAATAGTCCATTTTGATGCTTAGAGTTTTAGAAAGAAATTCTAATGTGAATTATACAAAAACTCTGTTTTAGCATATTTTAATATAAAAACCTTTTTCTGATTTTTAAAATTACTCTTTTACCTATTTATTTAAAAGCCAGAGTATAGGGCCTTGCCTTGTACCTCTTGGGATCCCATATGGATGCCAGTTCCCCATATGTGTGCCGATTTGTGTCCTGGTGGCTCCACTTCCCATCCAGCTCCCTGCTTGTGCTCTGGGAAAGCAATCGAGAATGGCTCAAAACCTTGGGACCCTACAGTGGGAGACCTGGAGGAAGTTCCTGGCTGCTGGCTCCAGATTGGTTTAGGTCTAGCTGTTATGGCCACTTATGGAGTGAACCAGCAGACAGAAAATCTCTCATCTCTCCTCTTTGTATATCTGCCCTTCCAATATAAATAACTATATCTTTAAAAAAAATGTCAGTTACAGAGAAAGGGAGAGTCAGAGAGGTCTTCTGTCCACTGATGCACTCCCCAGATGGCCACAGCAGCCAAGCTAGGAGCCAGGAGTCCCTCATATAAGTTAGAGGGCCCAAAACTTGGACCATCTTCTGCTGCTTTTCCCAGACCGTTAGCAGGAATCTGGATCAGAAGCGGTGCCAGGGCAGTATCCTGTGCTCATTGAGGGATGCTGAGGTAACAGCGGCCTTACCCACTATGCCACAACACCGGCCTCAACCTTTTTTTTTCTGGAACATAAAGTCAAGAATCAGTTCTTTGCCTAATATAATAGCAATTTTCAGAAACACACTCAGATTCATATTTCAAAGAAACCTCAGCCAGCCCGATATCAATTTTGCCCAGGAACACGCATTCTTAAACAGCAGCTTCTTAACACTACACACTGGCTAGAGCTGACTCAGAACACATGGCCAGACCTCCTTAAGTCAGCATGAGTAACATAAAGGAAAATCTGTCAACTGAAAGCTTAAATTAATGGAGTAATTCAGAGTGCCAACAGCTTAAAGTTCAATTTGCATTTATTAATTTATCTTTAAGGAAGAATATTGACTTTATTTCAAAAGTTGGCTGCCTTACCAGGAGATAAAAAAGATAAAGTTTTCTATTTGGCCATCATTAAAAAAAAAAATCTACTTGCTAAAGTGAGCAAAAAGGCTAGTATCTCTCTGCTCAGCGGTGATTTTTAAGACTGTAGTTAGGTTGGAAAGTAATTGTGGAAACCTCAGTGATCAGAAACTAGAGAACAAGGTTTTGGTGTGTCTCAGGGAAAGTGTGTGACACATAATTGAACATTTCATTGAGTTCAGATACACCTTTTTTTAAAAAAAATTACTTCAATTAGAGAGGCTTATTTTAAAGAGAGAAGGAGAAACAGAAATATACTCCATCCACTGGTTCATTCCCCAAGTGGCTGCAGTGGCTGGGATTGAACAAATCTGAAGCCAGGAGCAACGAGCTGCCTCGGGGTTTCCAATGCAGGTGCAGGATCCCAAGGACTTGGCCTATCCTCCACTGCTTTCCCAGGCCACAAGCAGGGAGCTGGATGGGAAGTGGAGCAGTCATCACAAGAAGCGGTATCCAATTGGAATGCTGGCACTTGCAGGTGCAGGATTAGCCAGTTGAACCATCATGCCATCCCCAAGAGATTCTAATTCTTGCCCACAGGTAGCTGAAGACAAAGCAACTATTCTAATATGAAAAATAGTATTTGTTTCCATATACTTACACCTTTTGAAAATGAATGTTGTTTTGTTGCTTTTAACTAGATTTTGTCATAAGACAAGTACTTGCTCATATGTGATGAATGAAGCTGTTCTTGGTGTTCACTGCAGAAAGCAAATGCGTATCTAGGTTCTTCAGTAGTGCCTAGGTTTTTCTATCCTAAAGACAAAAGGAATGATAATCCAGAAGAGAAGATAAATTAGCAAAATCGTGTTTTAGATTTGTATTTATTTCTGTTTTCAGCAATATACACTGAAGTAATGGGTTTTTCTTCCTTATTATACCCCCTTATGTAAAGAAAAATGCTTCTATTACTCAAGTATTTTTGAATTTGTTATTTTTTCTATTGCGGAGGTCTCATGAAATCAGTCTTCTCATGTCACCTCTGATTCATTAGATAAGCAATGTGTTTGATAAATTTGTCAGTTCATTGCTTCAGTGGAGCCATGTATTCTAAAAGTAAGTGCAAAATATTAGTAAGACTAAAAATAAAGGGTAAATGGCCGATCTGGCCATATTATAATTTTTCAAAAAGTTGAAATAATGCTGTTTCTAGAATATCTTAATAAATGGTATATGTTAGCCAAAAAACCAGTAGGTGTATGTTATATGCTAGGCTAGATTTAATTTGTTGAACACCTGTTTATTAATGAATCATAATCAGAGAAGAAATGGTTGTTTTGGCACGTTTTTAAAAGTGGTTTAAGTTACATTTTTGTTGATGGACTAAAATGACATGCAGTTTTATTTGTAACTACCTTTACATTTATTTACCTGCCGCTACATTGCCTTTTTTTCTTGTTTTCCATGTTTTTGTAGCTTTTTGATTTGGTATACAGAGAAGAGACCTTACTCAATGTCATCAAAAGTGTCACACGGAATGGCCGCTCCATTATTCTGACTGCAGTTCTGGCGCTCATCCTGGTCTACCTGTTCTCCATCATCGGCTTCCTCTTCTTGAAGGATGACTTCACGATGGAAGTGGATAGACTGAAAAACAGGACCCCTGTGACAGGTATTGCTGTTTCCTCTGGTGGCAGACACGGCTCGGGTGTTGCTTGCTAACGGTGTTACAGGTGAACTCACTAAAGCAGCAAGTGTTTTCTTTCATTCGACTGGGAGTATGTTTGCTGCTAGGAGTCATTAATGTGACCTACTTTTAAGCTGGGCACTGAATGGCTGCAGTGAGCTCAGCCTCCGAGAGAAATTTCACTAACACCAAATCTTCTAGCAGTCAGTCAACAACTTCACCAAACACCATTCACTGCTGTTTTTCTGTTGATGTTGGATCACAGTGTCCCATATCATACTTAAAATGCTTGAAAGTGAATAAATGTTTTTATCTGGAAAGGCCTCAGCTAGACATTGGTCTAGAATGCATACTAATGCCCAGTATGCTGTAAGATGAGAACCCGTCAGTCTCTCTGTGACCTTCAGGCTTTCTTCACTGGTGGTTTGGGCACATACCACCCTGTTTGCTTGCTGCGCCCTGTGGTGAGAGTCCTGCTCCTTGCTGTACTGTTTGGGGTTTTTAAAAATTCATTTATGCTTTGCTGTGACTTTGTTTTTCCCATTCTCCTTATGTTGTTGTTTTAGTTCAGTTTCCTTTTTCTTCCTCACCCTTTCACCCCTCGAGCTGTGCAGGGCAGAAATCGTCATTCATTTTCTGGATCGTTTTTCTCAGTGATTTCTTCATGGGTTATGGAAATCACAAAAGGAGACCTGAAACTGTTTAATTTAAAAGTGGAATTTAATTAATGTTGTCTTATCAATAGTATCTTTCTTTTTTACCCTTAATAAGCTTTTCTTAATACTTAAATTCATGGTTTATAGCAGTATCTCAGAATACACGATGATTGGGTGTTATTTAGTTGTGAGTGATCAAAGCACACCGTAAAAACATGATTATATCCATGGACTGAAATATGAAACATGAGGCTCTCTGGAATTTCATACCTAGATAGTAGTATTTATTCCAGAGATTATGAGGTATTTGGATTTTTTTTAAAGATTTATTTTTATTATTTTTTTATTGGAAAGGCAGATATACAGAGAGGAGAGACAGAGAGGAAGATCTTCCGTCCGATGATTCACTCCCCAAGTGAGCGCAACGGTCGATGCTATGCCGATCCGAAGCCAGGAGCCTCTTCCAGGTCTCTCACGCGGGTGCAGGGTCCCAAAGCTTTGGGCTGTCCTCAACTGCTTTCCCGGGCCACAGGCAGGGAGCTGGAAGGGAAGCGGTGCTACCGGGATTAGAACCGGCGCCCATATGGGATCCCGGGCATGCAAGGCGAGGACCTTAACCACTTGCGCCACCGCGCCGGGCCCGTATTTGGATTTTTTAGAAGACTTATTTATTATTTGAAAGGCAAAGAAGCAGAGAAGAAAAGGGGAAGAAAAAAGGGGAGGAGGGAGACAGAGAGATTGGCTTTCCATCCATTGGTTCACTCCCCAAATGGCTACAACAGCTGGAGCTGGGCTAGCCCAAAGCCTGGAGCTCTTCCAGGACTCCCTCATGAGTGCAGGTGCCCAAGCACTCGAGCTGTTTTGCACTGCCTTCTCAGGCACATTACAAGGGAGTGGGTTTGGAATTGGAGTACCTAGGACTCGAACTAGAGTTCATATGGGAAGCCAGTGCCTCAGGCTGAGGCTTAGCCTGCATGGCACTGGCCCCATGAACATGAAATATTTTGTTTTGGGCTCAAATGCTATTGTTTCTAGAATTTCACAGGGTATCGCTCTTTGGAGGACAAGCTCATCTATTAAGTTTCCCCACAGCTCTACTTCCACTACACTGTGGGTCGTGAACTGTCTGATCTCTATCATCTTTGCACTGGGCTTGCTTCCTGGCTTTGAGGCAGGGTCACAGGGAGTTCCTTGGTCCAGAGGGAATCCAAAGCACCATCGTGCTTCTGAATCCTAATGCCCGCGGTTATTGCTAAACATTTATGTTCCTGAATGCCGTTGTGCCATCAATACAAATGTTTTTCTTAGAAATAGAAAAAAAATGTTTTCTTTCTTTTCATAAAGTAAGCAATGTAAACCTTAAAATTTAGCGAAAACTGTTAAATAAAGCATTTGTAAATAAGTCCATCCAGCAGTCAGAACAGTTGGCAAAGTTAAACTGTCTTTTTTTTTTTTCATGGAGTGTCTGTTTGCTAGATTGAAAGCGTTTATGATGAGACCCTAGAAAAGTACCTTTCTTTCCCTAACACTTTAGCAGAGAGCATCTTTGCCCGTTTTCTGTTGTATTAACACATTCGCTGAGAGTGCAGGATGTTTAAAGGACAGAGGCTGGATTATTAGCTCACTGTTCTGGAGGCTGCCACCAGCACCTGCTCAGGATCCAGAAAGGGCCTGTGTGCTGTGTCATGACAACTCGGCAGAGCCAAACTGGCCTTTCTCATAGGCAAACATCCGTGATAACCTGTTAACCCGTGAATGGATGCGTGGTCTCATGAGGGTGGAGCTGTTGTGACTTAACCGGTTTTAATCACCACAGGCTGTGCTGTGGCCATTGAACCATCCTCAGATCTCTACTGCTACATGGCATGAAAGTTTATTCTTTCAAGGGGCTCTGCCCCAGGCCAGCACCTCCTCAGTTGCCTCCTTTTTGAGACTTCTGTCCTCATCTTCCATTCACCACTTCCAACTCCATCTCAGTGTGCAAGTCAAATACCCCAGGAGGTTCCTATTTTCTGTTCTATTCCGGGCCAGGGAGAGGATCCCTGGAGACAATGGATGAAAAGAAAGGTCGTCAACAGCAGAAGGCTCTTGCTTCCCAGAGATACTTTATGCCTCTGTCCAGGAGCCCCTGCTTTAGAGTTGGAGTGCCACCTGCCACAGTCCCTGCCTTACCCATGGTCATCAGAGCTTAGTGCCCAGGATACCTACTGCACATGGGTCATGTGCTTCTGCCATCCCAAGTCAGAAGCTTATGTACATTTGGCCAAAGAGATGTAATTTCATGGTGGTTAAGGTCTCCGGTTTTATCAATACTTTATTTGTCCACTTAGAAAGCTTAAAAGGCTTTCAGTGTGTCAGCCTGAGTCTGCTGTCTATTTATGAAACTTGTTTTAGAGGGCAAAGCTGTGTTCAGAGTTCTAGACCAACTCCCTGGAAGATTAAGGAGCACAACTAAGTTGAGTACAAGTGCCTTTAATTTAGATGCCTTTATCTGTGCTTCGCTTGTCATTTGCCTACTGGTCTTAATACCATGTTCTGCTTTTTGTTGTCTTAGGTGCTTACGGGGTCCCTACTACGACCTTAACTTCCATAATGGAGACATGTGAAAAAGAGAACTGCTCAACCACGATACCAGCTTCCAGTACAGGTCTGTAGAAGGGACTTCAGGACAGTGTGAGGTTCATGTTATTGCTTCTTAGAGAGTTGCTCTAGATGTTTCGTGGTGGGTAGAAACAAAAGATGAAAGAACCGAGAGGATTCAAACTAGAGAAAGGAGTCCCATCTCTGTCCTGCTCATGGGACTCTAGTGCATTTACCCTGTGGTGTTTGTTTCTGAAAGTTCTGCACTGGCAACCACACTAAGGGAGCCCCTCAACAGTGTGTTCACATAACATAAGACCCCCGAAGAGCATCAGATTAGTCCTTGGTTGTAATCCTGGATCTGGTAGTTTGAGGGTGTGTTACGCAAATTCCCTAAACTTAGTTCTAGGAGGCAGAGGAGAGGGGGCCTGAGAGAGGGGAAGGAAAGTATGACACTTTCCCTACCTGCATAGGAGCAAATGCAGCTATGCACATAAAATGAGTGTTTTATGCTATAGTGTTCCCTTGGCATTCAGTGTAATACATAATATTTAATGAAAGGTATTAGAAATCAGTGATGTTACCTAAAACAGCAGAGATTTAGGGACTGCATATCTTTTCATGTTAACACCATTGTCATTAATCAAAGAGTGTGTTTAACTGGAGTCGATGTCTAGTATCTACAGGTGGCAAAATTGGGTTCGAAGCAGATGAGGGAAGAGAAAGGCACAGTGCAAGGATGGGAACACACTGCTGGTCACGTGACGGTGTCTCCTTCCCTGGGCAGCCTCTCTGCTTCAGATGGTGCACCATTGCAGACTGATGGTCTGCTCTACTGACTACATGTTTCATGCTTTATGAACCAATGTGGAATCAAACATGTGACTCCAAACTGTCCCAGCAGCCATGAGCCGCACTATGAGTGGCTGCCGTACAGTTCAGCTCAACTTGCCTTATGGAGCACACCCTGCCCTTTATAAATCCTGGTGTGTGCATCCTCCAGCTTAAATATCTGCAACATCTCCAGCCTTCCTCACAGTTACGGCAGTGACTCATGGTCTAATGCCCCAAGACAAGCACTTAAACGATTTCATTCTGAGTGATAGAACCTGGACTCTCCATTACACTCTTGACCCGTATTTGGCTGACTCTTGGATGAAATGCTGTTCTTCACTGGTTCAACTGTAAAGCCATAAATCCCAACCTATATTCATGTAATTGGGAGTTTGGGCTTTCAAGTGTAAAACCATGGATTTATTTCTATCTGTTTCTGCCAGGTCATAATGACAGGACCTCACAGTTTGCTTAGAGACTAGATTACAACTGTTTTGGCCAAATGATCTCTCTAGGTTTCTGGTTGCTTCCAGTTCCACTGTGCTATGAGCAGCTATAAGGCTCATGATTCTGTCAAGTTATATATTTATTCTCTCATGTCATGCTCAGGTTTGACAAGTCTTAGAAGGAGGGTTGGCAGAATATGTCCCAAACGAAATCCATCTTACCACCTATTTATATGTACATTGACTTAGGAATGGTTATAATAATTTTTTAATTAAGAAAAAGATGTGGAAACTTTTATGTGTGATGTTTGAGTTTTATAGGAAATTTTTTTTTTTTTACTGAAGTCTGCTCTAAAAAAAATTTCGGTTAAAGAAGTTAGCAATGTTTTATAGGACAGCAGCCGTAATGCCAAGGATCATTACACACGGTGGTCATGCTCACATTTTGTGTGCCTCTTCATGTACATAGAACTCTGTCTCAGACTTACCATTCAGCCACGTTTCTCGATTCATTTTCAAAAAATACTGTAACACTGTTTTTCAAGGCTTTTTTTTTTTTTTTTTTGCCAAAACCTGACTTTACAGGTCCTGCCACGTTCCTCGTCGGTGGGTACACATGGGCCTCTTTTGGCTACAACTCCTTCCCATGCTGTCTGAGGTGTGGTTAGTTTTAGTATCTTCCCTTGTCATCACATTCATCTGTCAGCAGTTTGCAGAATCTACCACAACCTCAAAGTCAGGCCTCTATGCACTCCGCTGTCCTATCACCCAGTTTTTTCAAAGCCACAGAAATAAACTTTGAGAATTCAGGCATAGTTTAAGTAACTAGGTAACAGTAAGTAGTTTGGAGGTGTTTTTTTGTTGTTATTGTTGTTGTTTTTTAACGGTCTTGAATTTTGTTTTAGTATCCCTGGTACTTCATTCTTTCAATTCAGTGTTCTTTCTCCTTAGTAGAATATGGGAAATAGTATTAATTAAAAGATTGCTTTCTTACTAGTCAGATACTGTAACACTTAGTTTCAACTTGTATTGATACTTTGTGTTGGTCTTAAATCTCTAAATGCTTTTTTCAAAAATGACATCCTTCATTCTAATGCAAATAACTGTAACTGTAGTTGAATTTGAATTATTAAAGGCCTTGTTTATCTGAAAGAGTAAGAGAGGTAGAGTTGACTCCATAAATGCTTGCAATGGCTGGGAATGGGCTAGAGGTAAAGCAGGGAGTCAGGAACTCAGTCACGGCCTCCTCGGGGTCGTGGGTAGCAAGGATTTAACCACAACCTGCTGTCCTTCGGGAGTCGGGTGGTGCATGAGCAGGAAGCTGGAATCGGGGAGCAGAGCTGGGACTAGAACCCCTGCTGCAGTATGCTTGGGCCTTTTGTAATGTGGGCCTACTGTTCGCACAGGAATACTCACACCATCACAAATGCATGTTAGAACTCGACTAAAATTTAATCCTAGCCTTAGACACAGAGAAGTCATTTTTTAAATCTCAGTGATACCTGCTGCTCAATAAACCAGATTATGTGCCTTGCAGTCTAATATAGTAATGAAAAATGCACAGCCAAACATGCAGATCCGATCTGTAGAACTGGCAGTCAGGTGGATTGTATCACTTAGCATGTTGCACACAGCTTTGAAAGTCCCTTGTATGCATAGAGCCTTTACTGTAGGCCAGCCACCGTGCTAGGTGTTGAGGATTCAATGTTTGATAAGCAAGTATGATCCTGGTCTCCATGGAACGTATCAAATGGTAGAGGAAGCAGAAGAAGTTATCAATGAAAGTTTACCTGTCAGTTTCTTTCACTTAGTGTTTTTGGGTAGATTTCTTCAAATGTGTTGTCTACTGAAGACAATTGCATTTCTTAGATGGAAGCGTATGTTACATACTCATGAACAGGAGCTGGGTTTTTTCCACTCCTGCTTCTGAGGAACATCTGGTAACACCAGGAGATGGATTTGGTTACCAGACCTAGGAGAGGGGTAATGGTGGCAGCTCTTGGGTGGAGACCAGGGAGGCTGAGGAACACCCTGCAATGCACGAAGGATCTCTGGCCCCAAACCCTAACTGTGTGAAGGGTGAGCAAGGTTTGGCTATCACTTTATAGTTCCAAATACAAACTCTTATCAAAGACTTCTCACTGCAATGTCTGCCACCTGGTATTCACTCCATATTTTGTGAAAAGAAGTCACTTCCCATTCTCTGTAGAAGGGTGAGGACAGTTCTTCCCCACAGGCATGACGCTCCAGAGGTTAAATCTGACTTGCTGGGCTCTAGCAGTGCCAGGTAGGAACTAGGGAAGGAAGGTTTTGTGAAGGAAGCTGTGAAGGTTGGGAAGAAAGCATGGGTTACAGTTGGCTTGTGGAGTGTTCGGACACTGGGGACTCTTCAGAGACGCTATGGGGAACCAGGGATATGTGGGCATAGCTTTATACAATGCACAATTATTTCTAGATCAGAATTAAAATTACAAGAATATCTGGATCCTTCTGTTGCCCCTTTGGTCATTATGTTATGCCCCTTTGGCATAGCATTCATCTGATTGAAAATTGCATGAATTTGATCTCCTAGCCCAGGCTGCCTTTCCATTTTGGCTGTGTAAAATTAATTGCAAAATTAGAGTGAAAGGTACAGGCTGGATTTTGTTGTGCAGCAAGTGTTGCTTAGATTTAAAAATAACCCCTCCATGTCTAAGACCAGGATTAAATTTTAATTTGCAAGCCCTGGTGTGCGTTTGCAACAGCCTGAGTGTGTTCCCGTGTGGACAGCAGGCCCCCATTACAAAAGGCCCAGACATGCACAGCAGCCTAATAACAAGGCTCATGGTGGTTGGAACGCAGAACCGCCAGCTTCTAGGAGAGAGCCCTGCCCAAGTGGGCAAGGTCATTGTCCCAGCAGCCGAAAAATCACATGGCAACAGGCAGCCAGCTGTGGCTTTAGAAAAATAACCCCCCCCAAAAAAATCCCCTTTTATTTCATTTGCTGCAGACCTCTCTGATGCCTGAGCAAAAATAATTCATATATATATATATATATATATATATTAAAAAATTCAACCAGACTTTCTAGAAAAGCAAGGCCTTTTGAGACAATTTTCAAAATATAATCATGGTTATGTTGTAAGCAAAAATCATGTTAATGCACAAACATAAAGGAGGAAGTTCACAGGTGCTCAACATTTATGAGTAATTCGAATTTAATATGTTTTGGTATTTTACTTTAATAGAAAAGATTGTTGGACACCAGGAGCGAGTCAGCTGTAAATGCCATTTTGGCTTCTCACAGGGCACCAGTGATTTTAAGTTTTTTTTCCTCAGCTTAAAAAGCTTAAATGTGCATTTCCATAATTAATTGATTATATAACTAAAGCTTAAGAGAAACAAGAAGTCTTCACTTCCACTCAGATTTTCCAAAATGTCTCAGTATCAGTATTACTTTCTTAGAAACCATACAAAGATCATTGAATTCAATTATTAAAATTGGAAAAATGCCATTATTAAAGACATTTCTTGAAACATGACCCATATTCTGGGTTGATACTTCATATTAAAGGGTACCATTTCATATGCTATAGAATTTATATTGTTCTTTTTTCATAGAACTTTGAAAATAATAGTATAGTGGGAAAATGAGCATTAGTCATCTGGAAATGTGTATTTTAACTTGCATTGTTCAAGTACAGAGTGTGTTGATTATATGAAAACCATAACTTTTCATATGGTCTTCCCAGTTACCTGTCAGTAACAAAATAGCTGGTATTTAATAAAGGCTTTACGCATTACCAAACACTGTTCCAAGTTCTTTCTGTGTAGCTGTGTAGTTCTTTAAAGTTTCTGCATATGAGAATTTTGTTTCCAATACTCTGTACCTTTGTTTGTAAATAGCATACTCTCTCCCTTCTTTTAAAACTGCCTGTGTAATGTCACCGCCTCTTGGCCACTGCCAGCTGAACCATCATTCTTGCACCTGGAATCCTTTCTTGCTGCCTTGTGCTCCTTGGGTGCTCGTTGGCTCTTCCTCTGGATGCGGCTATTCTGCCTTCTCTCCAGTGCCACATTTCTTCTAAGACCATTGGCCTACACTTTGTCCTGCCATTTCTTCATGGCCTGTCATCCTTTTCATGTTTCCCGTCTTCTGTTGTTTCCCAACATTTCTAACTGGACTAGGACTCTTTGGTCCTCCCCACGTATATACCTAGCACCTGGCCTGATGGATGTTGGTCTGGCCTAAAAAGGCAAATTTGGCATGGGGGAGGACCAGTTGGTTACACACGTACCTGTAAGAAGTTGACATTAACCTGAGTGAATTTATCTGGCTTCCAATCTGAAGGTCTGGAGTTCTTCATAGTAAGAGTAAAATTGTACCAGCCAAGCTCGTAGAGGTTGGCTAGTAAATGCCAGCTTGCCTGTGCCCTGATTACTGTGGAGGGGGAACACTGGACTATTTTTGATGTTGATCCCTGCTTTCATGCCACACAGAAAGCTAATTCTCATTGCATATTTGTAAACGGTCTGTTTTATTTCACAAGAGCTAATTGTATATGGATTTTACTAGCATGTTTCCAAGGGAAGCAGCCTCATTTTCAAAATCTTGGGGGACAGAGAGGAGCCATGTTTCTGTAGCTTCCCTGTCCTGATTTATCTGTCACTTAATCCATCTTTAGTAAACATTTGTTCTGACATAACCAGTGGTTGTTGAATGAATAAATGAAATGTATACTTGCGTGCTTGAAAGTCTCACTGTGGTAAAATGACATATAGGCATTTCACATGACCTCGCTATTGAAAAACTATGTCTATCTTGGAAATTCTTCCCACTCTCTTATACTTTGCTGTTTTTCTTTCTTGCATGCTCCTTAGCTATCACATTAGAATTTCCATGTACATACATGCACACACACAAAGAATATTACTATTATATCTTATGTAGGGTTTTTTTTTTGCATATGAGCATTTTATTAGTGTTAGTTTCAAATTGATCCTTAGGAAAGTATAGGCATATACCCCCAGTAATGAAATAATATAGTTGCCTCAAGGCTTAAGCTCCTGCCCTATTTATACCATTCTCTGTGCATATGTTCCTAAAAGAACCATCTGAAGGGGTTGACTGTGACACAGTCTCCCCATTTTACTGACGAGGAAGCTGAGGTTCAGGAACTCACCCCATTCCCAACAGGAACAGAGGAGAACTTGAGACGTGTCTGTCTGGCTTCCCTGTGGACACTCTGTCCTTTTGGTGATTTTGTTCTGTCTTCAGCAGGTTTCAGCACAGCCTTCCCACCACAGTCATGCATGGTGAATATTTCATGTCTTCCTTCTGCCACTTTACCATCTACAGGGAAAGAAAAGTATTTCAGGATATTGTTTCTGTGGCTAACCCAGTTGGTGAAATAAATGCTGTGTGACTTCAAAAAAAAATTACATCTTTGAAAGCAAATAATAGTATATTTCATAATGTGGACTTGCCACCCCGTTTGACTGCAGTGGTTTTTTTTTTTTTTTGCAGCCGATGAAGAATATGAAGATGGAATTGAAAGGACCTGTGACACTCTGCTCATGTGCATTGTCACCGTGTTGAACCAGGGTCTCAGGAACGGTGGGGGCGTGGGGGATGTTCTGAGACGGCCATCGAAAGATGTAAGCCCAAGGAAAAATCTGGTTTTCAGGAACTCAAATTATTGTTTAACTTCTCTTAATAGAATCTGGCTTTGGTTCCAGGGTAACACGTATATTTTACTTCAAAATTTCATGGAAAGTAGAATTTTAAAATAATTTTTTTTTTGTGCCAAAAAACCTTTGACGTCCATGTGCCATTTTTCTCAAAATACATTTTTTTCGTGAGCTTTCTAAAGTACCCCTAAAAAAGGCACTGAAACAAAGTTTTGCAACCAAATAAAATATCCTCTACTTATATTTTCTATGAAGTTTCTGAGGAACTCATATCATTTGCTATGTTGTATAATAAGGTTGCAAAGCAATATGGAATATTCTGGAGATAAGCATCATGCATTGTTTTCATGTCTTGGTGGTATATTGTGGTACAGCTGTGGCTTTCTACAGGGGTCACTGTAAGAGAGTAACAGAAATGAGGCTCCCCTATCTTGTTCTCTAAGCGTGAAGACTCCTTTCCTTACCTATGATTGATCTAAACCTTCAACAGGATTGAGCCAGATTTCATCTTTTAAAATGTCAAGGCAGAAAAATCTCCCGATAATTATACAATGTGGGAGCTCAGCAGATCTTGGCTCTGCATGAGGCCAGTTACAGCATGTTGTCAGGTCATCTAACATTGAAAGCCTTGGTCCTTCACCTGTTAGGCCAATCGGACTGCACAGTCTGGAGGGTGTATGTTAATGCTCTTCAGCAGGTGGATGCCACAAAACCCGCTCCAAAAACTGGTAAAACATTGGGTCCTGCTCAGCTCCATAAGGGCTGGCCTTTGGGGCTGGTGTTTAACTACCTTCTTGTGTAGCATCTGAAGCAGGGGCCTGCTGTGCCAAAATATATTTAAGAAAACGACATAATGAAGTGGTTCATAGCAAAGGTAAATCCCTCCCTTGGGACCGGAGCCTATCAGTCCTAGTGAAATGGAAAAGGTCCTATGACTTGTCTGGAAAGTTGACACAAAAAATACTTTTCCAACCTGGATTGCTACTTGTGTTCATTTTGCAAGTGTGTTAAATATGTTTCCATTACTAGACAATGCACTAAATCGGCATGCAAATTGTAATGCAATTGCATTACAAATTTACCATTGTGAATTTGCATTTCAGGAGCCCTTATTTGCTGCCCGAGTGGTTTATGATCTTCTGTTCTTTTTCATCGTCATCATCATCGTTCTTAACTTGATTTTTGGTGTTATCATTGACACCTTTGCTGATCTCAGAAGCGAAAAGCAGAAAAAAGAGGAGATTCTAAAGACGACCTGCTTCATTTGTGGTGAGTCAGATAATCAGTGAACAAGCTGGTTAGCACAAAGAGGTGTGAGAATGATTTCTGTTTGCCATGCTTTTTGGAGGAATTATTACTTCAAAATGAAGGCTGGATATGATTCAGATTATATAACTGAGCATCAGGCTGGAATTTTCTGTTTCCAGAAATAGAAAAATCATATCCCAACACTACCCTGCCAGTGTTTCTGCAGTTTACATGTGTCTCTCACTATAGAATATGATGCAAAATGCCGGAAAGTTTTATCAACTGGGAAACGAGTTTATACTCACATATTGCTTATACAATGCAGTGGTTTTTATGTATTTTGCTAGATGAGGAATCTGAGAATGCCTTCTCCAGCAGCTGCGACTCCTACTCACTGTCATCTTAGGTTTCAGATGCTGGGATATTCAGGACTCTGTCTCACACACGTGCACTGCACACAAACAAGTACCTGCATGGCCCACACCCCTGCCCTGCCTCACTCACGGACCCACTCTGCACGCCTCATTCTCTTTGACCTCCTCTCTGTATCTGTCACCCCTTGTGGCTCGCGTCTCTGTAGCGGCCTCCTCCGGTCTCACATGTGCCCGTTTCAGGGTGCTCATCAGCTCTAGGTTTCCCTCACCCTCCATTTTTCCATGTAGCTGGAGATTTTTGGGTGAGTGCTGCAAAAGCCGCACACAGCATTACTCTGTGTACCTTAAATCAGATTGATGGTAAGCCCCACTCTTTCCTTGACTCATCTGCTCTTTACTGCTTCCTTCTTGGTGGCTTTCCCAGACCTTCACAGCATCCTTGCAAAGGTTGGGGCTGTACCAGGGAGTAATGCATAATGTGCTATATTCCCAAGACATAAATGTGAGTTAGGTACCCCCTGTTTTAAGATGTTCACAATCTTCTGTGGGATGCAGACACTAACAGTAGCATTGCTCTTTTGGGATAGACAAGTTCTTGGGGGAGCTGTCCGTATTCATGGGGAATAGCTCTGAAAGCTTGAATAGGGAGTAAGGATGAGGATTCAAGAAAGCTTGTTAGAAATGCTGGTGATGGGCCTGATGTGGTAGCTTAGCAGGTAAGGTCCTCACCTTGCATGCACTGGGATCCCATATGGGTGTCGTTTCATATCCCAGCGGCCCCAATTCCCATACAACTCTCTGCTTGTAGCCTGGGAAAGCAGTTGAGGATGGTCTAAAGCCTTTGGACCCTGCACCTGTGTGGGAGACCTGGAGGAGGCTTCTGACTCCTGGCTTAGGATCGGCTCAGCTCCGGTTGTTGTGCCTGCTTGGGGAGTGAATCATCAGATGGAAAATCTTCTCTGACTCTCCTCTTGTCTGTATATCTGGCTTTCCATTAAAAATAAATAAAATGGTTTTTTTATGGCCAAAGATGAAAGGGAATTAGAAATGGGTAGAAGCAGCTTGGTCAGGATCAGCCGCAGAGCTGCGCAGCACAGCGGTGTCCTTAACACTCTCTCAATAGCTCAGTGCTGCTGCATGTCCCAGCAAGAGCAAGGCATGCTCAGAGGAGGGGCCAACCAGAGCGTGGCCTTGAACGTTAGGCAGGCTGCAGTTTGCCCTGAGGACTCATAAGAAGGGTGACCCTTAAACTGTGATGGGAGAGTGCAGAACCTGATTTCTCTGTGTCCTCCTCGGAGGCAGCTGTGAGAGGCCATTCATTCATCCGGGGTCAGTCCTGGAGTCAGGGCAACCAGGTGGGCTGTTATTGCCACAGTCCAGGAGAAAGTTAGTTAGTAGTCTGAGGATTGAAACTAGAAATATCCAGAAGGAAGACTGTTTCCATCTTGGTGGTTAGGAAAGAATCTGAAAGGCAGCTTGGGTGCAAGTGTGCATGGTAAAACCGACAGTTAACCAAGTATAATCAGCAAGACAAGCAGCTTGTGTGGAAACATGCTGAGTTTACCTTTGGCAGTACTCACGTCGAGGCGTGCCCCGAGCATCTTAGAGGGCAGCGTGTGGGTCTGAGCCCCAGAGGAGTCTGAGTTGAGGACAAGTGTTGGGAGATCCTCAGCCTGCAGGTGTAGCCAGATCAGAAGTGTGGAGACAAGCTTCTGGGTTAGGCCTTGTACTCTTCTTACATTTCTTTCATAAGTTACTGTCCACTCTCACTCTGTGGGGTAAATTCTATGAGCAAATGGAAGGCAAGTACCTGCAGCAGACACATGTGAGAAATACTATAATGATGAATACCTAGATGTGCATTCACTCCAGAACTTGGGACCACATTTTAGATTGGATAGACCTACATGTTATAGACCTTAATTATAAGAATGATTAAGACATTGGGATATTTGGGAGTTAGACTCGTAGGCTGTAAAACAGCTGTGAGTAATTTAGAAATGGTTCATGGGAGAGGAGTGTCGAACATTGTCTGTCATCCATAGAAGGGTCTGGTGGTAAGTAACAGAGGCCAAATCTTCACAGTAGAGAAGTGCTGGCACCAGCTGAGCTCCAAGGAACACCATGGTAGGACAACTGTGGCTAGATCCTCATGACTGGCATAGACAGGGGTTGCAACTTTGCCAGCCATTGGAGAACCTAACATGGCATGAAAAATGATATCTAGTGGTGCAGATGGCCATCTGGATAGGCTAATGGTTAGTGGAAGATAGTGCTGAAACAGCACGAATAGAAACAAAGCAGTTCTTATATGTGTATTACTCATTAGCTTCCACTTCAGTGAGAGGACTGGCGGGATGACAGTTGCCAGGGTGTTGGGAACGGGCAGCAAAGCTTAGAGAACAAGAAGCAGCGACAGTGAGGGACAGCCTTGACATTTCCCTCCTTCACACTGTCGGATTCCTTGTGGTACCCACCCTCTCTCCAGCGTCTTCCTCAGTCTACCTCCCAATCATGCAACTCTAGACACTTTGACCTCCTTGCGGGTGGTGAGGGGCCTTCAGCACCAGTGCAAATCCCTTACCTTTCTAAAGCTCTTTCTGGTTTGCACTGAATATCCAGTTTCCTCTTCATTTCCAAATGCTCCCTTTTAGCCACATCAGAATGATGAGGCTGTCTCTCGTGGTCACACGTTCTTGTTCTCTGCCACTCTGCCATGCCCTTTCTTCTGTCCCCATGGCAAAATAAATGTTTATTTCAATCTTGGGTAACTCTTCCCTTATCAAGAGCTGTTAACCTGAGCAACTTACTGATTCATTTTCACTCCATTTTGTCATCATATTGAACTGCCTGAATTATAATAACATATTTAGACATCCTTGTGGTTGTCAGCATAGATAGGTGCTCAGTAGAAACTAAGAATCTTTTATCACCATTTACTTCTTCTCCATTTGGTATAATCAGGTTCCAAAGTCAAATTCTTGAAGTTTTGCATGTCATTGAAGCTTTTCAAATGGATACTTTCCCCTCTTTCATGCTTCCTTGGCAGTTTGTACCCCTTGAGAATGTAACACAATCTGTTTCATCCGTTATAACACTATTCACTGATAGTAGAAATATTTTCATAGTTCCTTGCATTTCCTAGGTGTTTGAGTTGAATTCTGGGAAAATATTTCCTGGGAAAACCTCTTCTTTTTACCTCTCTTTCCCTCCATATTTCCCTCCCTCCCTCTCTCTCTCTTTCTCTCCCTTTTATCTCTTCTTCCTGCCTCCCTCTCTCTCCCTTTCTTCCTTCCTTCACTCTCACCGCCCTTCTCTACCCTTCCTTTCTCCCCTACATACACACACACACACACACACACACACACCTCCATTGGGCTATAATTCATATATGTTAGAGATCATTCTTTATATGTCCTTGAGTAATGTATCTCTCACCATAGTCAACTGGAGAACATTTCCATTGTTTGAAAAAGAAAACTCATCCATCCTTCACCTGTTAGTGCCTCCCCAGTCCTGTTGTCCTCAGCCTAGGCAACTGCTGGTCTTTACTGGCTTTGACTAGAATCAGAATATGTGATCTTTTGAGACTGCGGTTTTGAAGGTTCAGAAAGACAGAAGGTCTTTCTCCTTCTTTCAAGTCTGACCTGTCTTTCCAATAAAAATAAATAAATCTTAAAAAAAAAAAAGATGATGACTTTTGTGAAACCAGACAGTGAAGACTTAGAGAGTGTCAGGGGAAGAGTTTGGAGATCAGCAGAAACAACCAGTCCAAGATCCTGAATGACGGATCTGTGTCCAAGGAACAGCAATGGGAGAGTGCGATTGCGTGGAGTCAGCAGGAAGAACATGGGAGGAGAGGAGACGCCTGTGACTAAGAACCCACATCACAGAGGACTTAAATATTGTTTGAAATATCCTCTCACTGAAAAAGCATCCACTGTCTAGCTAAAACTACAGTTCGCTGGGAATCCTGTATTTCATCTAGCAGTACTACTCACAGGTCAGGATAAGACCCCATTTCATCTAGATGGCTGCCGTGTTGAGATTAGACGTGGAGGATGAAATTGGAAACAGGTCTATGGAACACTTGCAGCAATCTGGGTGAAGATGATGGCTCGGGACATGGGGGTAGCCATGGAGGTGGTGAGAAGCAGTCAGATTTAGAACAAATTTGGGGTGCCAGAAGTGTTTCGGCATGGATTGAATGTGGTATGTGAGAGGCAGAGAGAATTCAAGGATGACTCTGAAGCTTTTGGCTTGAGGAACTGGCAGACTGCACTTGCCACTGAACAAAAGGAGGAGGGCTGTGGGTGGAGTGGGCCTGGGGAAGAGGATGCGAGTCTATTTGGGGCACATTGAACTGATGATAGGTTCACTAAGATGAGGCACAGCCATCAGCCAGCTGTGAGCCTGATGGTATTTTCCATAAAGATATCCAATAATGGAAGTGAAAAGGTCACCCCTTTATTAGGGACATATTTTTTTATTTACTGTGATTGGAGTTTTACTATTCAAAGAGTCTTCTCCAGACCCAAAGGGCCTTTTTAAAAAAAAAAAAAAATCTCAGGGTAAGAGTAGCCAGGTTCAAAATCCAGTGTCCTGGTTTCTTCTCAAGCTTCGAAACTGCAAGGCTAGACTAAATCCCAGCATCCCGTTTCACTTGGCCATCAAACCCATGTTTCCACCGATGTTTCTCTTCATCTCTGTTCAATTCCTTTCATCCACTCTTCAGTGTTGAGGGCAAAGGGTCTTCTTATGCATGTCTTTGTAGTATCGTTCCAGAGGCTGAAAATGGGCCCCAGAGACCACAAAGACCCTCCTCTTCCCCAAAATGCTTGTTCCAGGATGGTCTGGAAGCCTGGGTGGGTTGAGAGGCCTTGGTCCTACAGAGCATGCCCTTGACTGATTACAAGTAGTTCTCAGAAGGTGCCGCTCTCAACTATCTTCCCTCTTCTAACTCAAGCCCTGGATAAAATGATTTTTCTGTCGTGATTGCCAAGTATGCTTTTTCTTGCACATTTTTGCCTTTTTTTTTTCTTGGACTTGTGGTACAGTTTAATTGGACAATGTTGATAGAACTGTGTTTTAAATTACCTGCACATATTACAACGGTAATAGGGCTGAGCTTTTCCAGGAATCCATGGGGAGAAAAATAAATGTGAGTTGGGAAGTAATTTTTAAACTGTGGCCCTTTTTTTCTCCTCTGTGGTCTTGTATACCTGGTTGTTTTTAATTACAATGTTTTAAATTGGCACAGGCTTACAGAAAGCCTTTTTCCTCCCACAGTAATTATTATGCTGTGTTTTTATGCTAAGAAGTAGGTTCATACTAAATGGCAAATTACATGTATTGTGTTTCCTGTGTTTTGCAGGACTTGAGAGGGACAAATTTGACAATAAAACGGTTTCATTTGAGGAGCATATTAAGTCAGAACACAACATGTGGCACTATTTGTACTTCATCGTGCTGGTGAAGGTTAAAGATCCCACAGAATACACGGGTCCTGAGAGCTACGTCGCCCAGATGATTGTGGTGAGTAGTCCATGCCTGGGTTGCAGTTGGGATCTTTTTGCCCGATCATCGCCATACCCTCCGCTAAAATACAAAAAATAATATTAACTGTTTTCTGTTAATTTTTCTTAAAAATAAGTCTTTAAAAAAAAATGTACTTGAAAGACAGGGAGACAGACTGACCAGAATCTTCCCATCCACTTGTTGACTTCCTCAGTGCCTGGTACTGGCTGAGGCTGGGCCAGGCTGAAGTCAGGATCTGGGAGTTCAGTCCACATTCACATGTGTGTGGTAGGAATGCAAGTACTCTGGTGTGTCCAGAGTGCACAATAGCAGGAGTTGATCTGGAGCAGGAACCCAGGCACTCTCATTTGGGATAGGCAAACATCCATTGTGCCCCAACACCCACCCTTCCGTTAACTTGTAAACAGGCCTATCGTTACAGAACCTGCAGATTGCCTGCGTCGTGGTTCTTAAGAGATCTCTTGGTTATCTGGATGATGTCTTAACTCTCAAATGCGCAAAAAACCCCTACAAAAGATTCTCTGTGCAAGGAACTTGGGAAGTTTGTCTGCTCCTCTTGTCATTGGTCTTCTAAGTCCCCGAATCTAGAGCTTTCCCATTGTCAAGTGTGAACAGAATAGTCATACTTTAAGAAGGACTTAAAGCCTCAAAAATTAAGTATTCAGGAAGCTGGGTTGCTGCTCACATATCCTGTGGACTAATTTACCATCATTGTTATGGCTTTGCATTGAGACTGAATTTCCATTTGCTTCTACCTCCTCATGAAGATCAGCACAGAGGGTTGGGAGCTGGGCCTTGTAGGCAAGACACTGGTTAAGATGCCTGTGTGTCACACTGGAGTACCCAGCTCCAATTCCTGACTCCAGCTTCCGGTTATTGGCAGTGGTGATGGCTCATGGGACTGGGTTCCAGTGGGAGGCCTGGGTCAGCTCCTGTTGTGAATGTCTGGGGAGTGAACACAGCAGCTGGGAGTTTACTTTCTGTCTTACTATCTCTGAAATTTCAGTTTTGCTTTATTTAATTTTTGAGTTTTTAGAATTATTATTTTCCATGATGCATTTTTGTAGGTTTAGGGATTTGCCTTGCCCTCCCTTCCCACTGTTTTCCCCCATATTTCCCCGTTTTCCCCCACACAGTACTATGGTCCTCTGTATGCTAGTCTCCATTATATACAGTTTATCTATGAGAATATATGTGTATACTTGTTCACCTGTGTATCTATTTGTTTTGTATTTTCCATGAATGTTGCCTTGTATCAACAAAAGTTCATCATGCAGAGGTTTTTCACGATTTAAACTTTATTATATCTCATAGAAATTAAAACTGGCCAAAAGAGAGGTCTGGGTTGCAGTTTAATTATTTTAGTGTATTCTGATATACACTAAGGGGCTGTGTTACCTAATATAAATTTTGGTATGCTTTTTTTTTTAAGATTTATTTTACTTTTATTGGAAAGGCAGATATACAGAGAGGAGAGACAGAGAGGAAGATCTTCCATCCGATGATTCACTCCCCAAGTGAGCACAACGGGCCGATACTATGCCGATCCGAAGCCAGGAGCCTCTTCTGGGTCTCCCATGCGGGAGCAGGGTCCCAAAGTTTTGGGCCGTCCTCGACTGCCTTCCCGGGCCACAGGCAGGGAGCTGGATGGGAAGTGGGGCTGCTGGGATTAGAACCGGCGCCCATATGGGATCCCAGGCGTCCAAGACAAGGACCTTAACCACTGCGCCACCGCGCCAGGCCCAAATTTTGGTATTCTTACAGTAAGAATAGCTATATATTGGGTTTTGTTTTCTCAAATATTATTGTACTGAGTTGCATTTGCTGTCTGGGAAAGAGACCTTCAAGGACTCCTCATCCTCCCGAATGCTTGGTCCTTGGGATGGCATTTAGGTGGTATCAATGCTGAAATATCAGGAGCCAAGCGTGATTCCAGAGCCTTCCCCAGGAGCTTGTGATTGGCTTGGGAAAGCCCCTCCAGTACAGGGGACAACCAAAGAACTAGTACAGAAAGCAACATTCTAGCAAGAACAAGCTGGTGCAATAACCATTTATCTTACCTGTCAGTGATAGTGGGTTGCAGGAGAGCTACATGTAAATTGAATTTTTATAATTCAGTGTTTTTCAAACTTTTGTTTCTATGGCTAACTTGCATCCTGTTAAAAAGTTATTCTCTCTGCATTCTTCATCAGTGGCAAACAAAACCTCATCTTGTTTCTCCTCTGCTTTTGCCTTACTGCTCTCTGCATTCCAAATCAGGAATAAAAGAAAGGTAATTCTTTTAAGGAGATAAATGTATCATTGGGATTTATACATCCTTGAACTTGTGTGCATGAACATTGGCTTTCTGCATGTTGGAAGTGTGAATGTAAAGGGTTACACTGAAGGGCTGACTTCAGTGTCACTGTGTTACTAATATTTGAGTAGACTTGGCAGTGTCTGCTGGGCCCCTGATATGCCACTTGGGCTAAAAGATTTCAGAGAATATGTGGAAGAATCTAGTATGTTCCCCTTTCCCTAAGGAACTTATTAAGAAGGGTGGAGGGATAACAAGCCAAATATATTTGTGCAAGCAGAAAGTTCCTGGAAGAATCAAATCAAAAGATCGTGGGACTTTTTAATGAATTTTTAAAAGTTCCTTCATAGATTATGTCAGGTTTCCCAAAAGTAGTCCGTGAGAAACTCCATGAAGGCTTACAGATGGGGAGTGATATTCTTTTGGGGGGAGGGGAGATGGACGTTGTTCTGTGTTGGGGAGGAGGGCATAAAATACTCCAAACAGCATAGGGTCCGTGCACATAGGTGTGTGTGCTGTGTAAGGGGAAACAGTGGGAGGAGATGTATGAATGGCAGACCCACAGGCACTCACAGGATGGCCAGTTGTCCAGTTTGCTGGCGCTTAGTCACTTCTGGAGGCACTGTGAGAGACAGGACAGGGAAAGTTGGCTAGACTGTCACAAAGCAAACAGGAAGTATTTGGACCTAATTCCCCAGCAAAGGGAAACCAGTGAAGGTTGTTATCAAAGAGAACGCTGTGGCCAAGGACAGTGTCAGACAGTGATGTGCAGGTGGGTGTGGCCAGGGGAAGGATGAAGTCAGAGATGGCATTGGACGAGGGATGAGGTTAAGGATGGAAGATGGAGAAAAACAGGAGAAGGGGAAGGAAAGGCAAGGATGCTTGGACCCGCAAGTTCGCTTACTGAGAGTAAGGAGTGTGTTTGTGTCCCAGAAACTCCCTGTGTTTGAAAGAGCTGGTCAGAAAAGGAGGTATTATTTTGAAAGGAGACAGAAGGAGGGAGGAAGTGTGAGGGCCCAAGAAGGTTTGGTGGCCACAGCCACAGCCTTGGTACTGTCATTTAGGTGCTGGATGGTCCTGGGACACATGTGTCCTGGGTGTCACAGGTGTGCCTGGAGCTTCACTGTGAGTGAGCAAACTGCTGCATTGTATGTGTATCCATTGTGCTGCTTGTACAAGTGCCTGGTGGGCACAGAGGATGCAGCCAGGGCCAGCCAGCCCTGGCCTGTGCGCAGTGACCTCTGAAGCTGTCAGCTTAGAGAAACTGCGGAATGGGAGAAAGTGGTAAGAGAGAAGACAGAGCCTGGGAATGCCCTGTTTAGTCAAGGAAAAAAAGATGAAAAGGGGGAATAGAGAAGTCAAAGGAAAACCAGGAAAGGAGTGAATCCTAAGTTCAGAGATGAGCATTCGTTGCCGGAGTTCCACCAGCTCGCCGCCATGAAGAGGCTGCAAGTCAGGCTCTGGCCAGACCTCTGGGCTCTGTAATGTAGAAGTGAGCACGTGCCCTCTCCATAGAGAGTACTGCTGCTCTTCAGCCTCCAGGGTTTCAGTGATCGTTAGCTGGGACGTGTTAGGGATCTGTGGCTGATATTTTCTACTTAATTTGACCAATAGGAGACCTGTATTAGGGGCAGGTGCCTCTGTTGTCCTGAGAACCGCTGTCTCCCTGCGTGTCTCATGACCTGGGCTCCTCCTGTGGCCGCCCCCTGGTCACCCTCCCGACACTGTCACCACGGATTTTGGGGACCATTTCCTCATTTTAGTACATCCCATTTTTAACTTTCTGCTTTTTTTTTTTTTACTACTCTTGACTAACAACTGTTACTGACATCACAGCAATGTCACTATAACAATGTGAGTTGTATTTCTATCAACAGTAACTGTCTTATCAGATAAAGTAATTGCAAGCCTCTTGAAGACGCTAAGTGGGTGCAGGTAGCTTCTTGTTCTTCACAGTGCCAAGGCAGGCCATCTCCACAGTGTGTCTGAAAAGTGGTTCCTTCTTTGGATACTGCCTGTGGCCTGTGACCCTGGCAGCCATACTGTAAGTCAATGAATGAGGATAAGTAAGAAATCCTCCCTAACCCTAAAAGTCAAAACTTTTATTGAATAGATAAATACCAAGGCCACTGAGTTAATACATTAATATTTTTTTTCCTGAACCTTCTAGTGATTGGATGTCTTTTACAAGCAGACGGACCACGTCAGCAGCAAGAGGCTAAAACATGAGTTTCTCTTTAGCCAAATGCTGCCTTTGCCCTCTTTAAAATCAGAAGGAAAGGGTAATTGTGATGAACCATCTATAGTGAACATGGTGTTTCGAGTAGGGTGGCTGATTGGAATGACAGTTGCTAGGATTCTTTGTCATCTTTTTTAGTGCATTTCTCCACCCAGTGCCTCTCACACACAGACCCTTAGGAGTGGGTCCTACAGGACCGACCCAACAGAAGGGCAGGAGCATACACTGGGGTTTCCACCCAACTTGCATTAGGAATGACTCCTTCCCTGCAATCATCTGGTAAGATCATCCATAGAAGGCTCATCCTTGCAGTGTGCTAGAAATGAAATAGAATCATTCATCACTTCCGCCATGGATGGGAGGGAACAGAGCTAACAACTTTCCAGATGTTTTTTGAATCCTGAACTCAAACTCAGTCTTATTTTGTTGAACTGTGTTTTGGGGCAGTGCCGGTGGGAAGAA